GCTACTTGGGAGGCTGAGGCAAGAGAATTGCTTGAGCCCGAGGGTTTGAGGTTGCTGTGAGCTATGATGCCACAGCACTCTACTGAGGGTGACTAAGTGAGACTCGGTCTTAGAAGAAAAAAAAAGGGCAGAGGCGGGTTCCTCAGGGGAGAATAAGAGGAAGAGAGAATAGAAGAAAGGCTGGGGGCTCAGTGCCCACAGCTCAGTGGTTAGGGCACTGTCCACATACACCGAAGCTGGCAGGTTCAACCCCAGGCTGAGCCTACTAAATGACAATGACAACAGCAACAACAACAAAAAAAAGCCGGGTGTTGTGGTGGGTGCCTATAGTTTCAGCTAATAGGGAGACTGAGGCAGGAGAATCACTGAAGCCCAAGAGTTTGAGGTTGCCGTGAGCTATGATGACATGACACTCTACCAAGGGGGACATACTGTCTCAAAAAAAAAAAAAGAAGAAGAAGAAGAAGAAGAGGGACTGAGGAGCTGGTGGATTTTGCTGATAATGAATCCAAGTTCCAGAAAGCACAGTAGAAAACGTTCAGGGTCGGTGAAGAGTGCTGATTCTCTGATATCAGCAGAGAATGTATTTGATAACAGGATATTAGTGAGGGCCCTGGGGGCTTGGAGAAACAAGCTTGGAAAACAAGCAGGATAAGGGCTGCCACCAAAATCATGCAGCAAACCGGAGCGTCCACTGCTGTGGTTGGACGCTCAGGGCTGTGGGGCCTGCACCGACCGTGCCAGCCAGCCAGAGACCCTGCCTGCCACTGCTGCCCGTGAAACTGCTGACTAGGACCCTTTCCTACCTTGTTCCCTCACCTGCTCCGTGGTACAGTCCGGGCTGGTGCACCTGACTGGCTGAGTCCAGCTCTGGGCAGCCTAGGAAAGTGAGCACATGGCAATTTCAGATTTTAAAGTCAAAGTGGCTCATCCGTCCTTCTACCAAGATTCATAAGGTGTGGCGGGGTTCTTGTTTACAACCACAGAATCTCCTCTCTGTCATATAAGCAGAAAGGGGCTTATTACAGGACTCGGGGTTCATGATAGGATATTAATAACTCACAATTCTTCAGGGAAGACAGGAGAAGTAGCTTTGGAAATTGTGTAGTCAAGAACACCACAATGACAGCAGACAATGCCTCAATGGAATTTTAACAAAGCCGCCACTGGACCTCTCTATGGGTACCAGTGTACCAGGTGCCCTCGAGACCATCCCAGCATCCCCAGAAAAACCAGATGCCAATGTTTTTGCCTCATGAAGGAAAGTTCCCGGTCACACACCTTCTCTTCAGGTTGCACACGCCCAAGGCCAAAGCTCTGGCAAGTATGTAAGTCAGCAGAGCCCCTGCACTCGACAGCGTTAAAGGGGCCTGGGAAACATGGTTGGCATAGTCTGTTTTACATTGCTGTAAAGCAACTACTCGAGACTGGGCAATTCATAACAAAAGAGTTTATTTGGCTCACGCTTCTCCATCCCACACAAGCATGGCCCTAGCACCTGCTTTGGGGGAGGGCTTCAGGGAGCTTCCAATCCAAGCAGATGTGAAGGGGAACGGGTGAGTCACATGGTGAGAGCAGGAGCAAGAGAAGTGGGGGGGCACAACCAGCTCCTGTGTGAACCAGTAACGTGAGAACTCACCCATTACTGAAGAAAGGACAGCAACACATTCACAAGGGACCCTCCCAAGGACCCAAACATCTCCTACCAGGCCCCACCGCCAACACTAGAGATCAGATTTTAACACGTGATTTGGAGAAGTCAAACATCCCAACCACATCAGTGGTGGCTGTGGATGCTTCTGTGCACGGGAGGCTTCAAAACGTGAGAACTATCAACATGGAAGATGTTCCAAGGAAGTTCTGTGTCTCTGAATGACAGACGTCTGCTACAGGGTGGAATTTTCCATGTGTGGGAAGTGTTTATCGATGTGGGGCCCCTGAAAACCACAAATAAGAAAGATGACAAGTAGCCAACACAAATATTGCCAATCTTCTTCCTCTCATTGTTCAATGAAACAAATACATTGTTTCCCTAAAAGGAAAGATCCTCGATGGCCCTTATTTTTGTGTCTTTTATTTACTGATTAATCCCAAGTGCCTAGAACAGTGTCCGGCACATAAGAAGTTCCTGATATGTGTTTGTTGAATGAATTAAAGAAACTCCTTTGATGCACTAAAAAAAAAAAAAAAAAAGCTGCTAGTAGAATGGAGGTTTATAAAACTGCCAGAGTCAACTTGAACTTGATTCAAATGTCGACAGCAGGGAGAAGCAGCAACATAAACTCCTCTCTCAACCCTTAGGAGTTAAACAGAATTTTTAAAATAGGGTCGGGAAAGCACAGCCTAGCAGGAGATGGGGAAAACATAAAATGGTAAGAAATCCAGGCTAACACCTGATGAGGTCAACTAGAAATACATTAGAAATTCAGTGATTGACATTAGGCATAATTTACGAATTATCATCACTGCATCAGCCATGTTTTATGATTTCATGGCATCTCCTAAAACATATTTCATAAATATTAAAATTAGCAGACATAGGGGGCAGGCTTCGCATTTCCAAAAGACCTCTAGTTCTGATACCCACCTAAGTAAGCTTGTATCTCCCAGGGGAAGTGTGACCCATGGATAAACAACAGAGCACAGTAAAATGCAATAGAGATCATTAATCTGTGCTTAAGCAATTCAGCCAGAAAGTTTTGTAACTTACAAGGTATTATAAGTTAACTGCTCCTGAATAAGTAAAAGGTCCATGTGATGGCTTAATTGAAAAGAAAAGTGGACTCTCATATTTCTGAGTTTCTTATTTTCCTTCTCAAAAGGAGAATTATAAAACTCAGTTCTGTAGGTGCGTCCTTCTTTCCTCTGTTGCTTTTATAAACGTATTTATGTATTCATAAACAATGCCAGGACAGATGCAGAATTCAGATGCAGGCAACAGGAATCACTGTAGCTATTTTGAAAAGAAAGGGATTTAAGACAGGAGATTAGGAGCCTACAAAATCTCTGAAGGGAATGGAGGAGTGAGCTCCAGGCTGATCCTTTAGCAAGGACTCCCAGAAAAACACCACCATGCAACTAAAAGCTACAACCTCTGTCCCAGGCACCTGGCCATCACGTGTGATGGTGTGTACCTGTGGTCCTGAGTGGGAAAAAACTGTATGAGGAAGAAACATCCCCCCTCCACTGCACTCCAGCCTGGGCAACACAGCAAGACCCTGTCTCAAACAAAAAAAAAAAGGAAGAGGGTCTGTATTGTCTGGAGCCACGCTCTCAGCAAGATGGAGCATGAGGCAAAAGTATAATTTTTAAACTCCTGGAGCAACCCTGCGAAGGCGTAAGGGCTCCAACATCCCTTATATAAGGACTCCCAATCAAAGTTTTAGTTTTTCTAGGAACATAGGAGTAAATGAGCCAATAGTGTGGAAATCAGCGATTAAATACAAACCTCAAACATTTTTAGGCAGCATAGCTATCATGAGTAGATTGTACAAAGGGAAAATAATAGCCCAAATCTATTTCTTCCAAGACGCATTCCACAAGAGATTGGAATTAAAGTGTTCTGCACTGGCACACCATACCGGGGAGCATTGTATTTTATTTTTAAAACACACTTTGCCTCGGCAAGAGAAGAGCATTGCCGGAGGAGCTGTCAGGATAGCCAAGGATCTGTGAACAGGTGTCCTGAGACCAGAACAACTGGAAAGCAAAGCTATTCGTTTGCTGGATATGCCAACCAAAGCAAATATAGAAGGCTGCAAATACTGGGTGAAAAGAATTTGACAACTAACACACACACACACTTGCTCTCTCCTAAAGGGTTCTGGCTTCCTCTCAGGCCTCCCTCTTGGAAAGAGGGCCTGTCCAGGGGTGGTGAAAATCTGGTAAGCCCCCTTCCAGTGGTCAGCCTGTCAGGCAGGGCTCCACCTCTTCAAGTAGTCCCGAGGGAGCGTGCAGGGGGAGATGAGGTAGGAGACTGGAGACTTTCCTCTGAAACGATGGAGGGCGTCGCACTCAGAGGTGGGATTCTAGCTACGGGTCCCCGCCCCGGAGGCCGCGAAAATGGAAAAGGAGCAGCAGCGTGAGGAGGTGAAGCCGGGGGCAGGACACCGCTCTGGAGCCCGCCAGCGCCAAGGGGAGGGAACAGGGGCGGGGAGAAGGCGGGGCTGGGAGTGGAGGCGGGGCCTGAGCCGGTCGGGGACAGGGGGCGGGGAGGGGCGGGGTCAGGGCGTGGCCAAACCCGGGGCGCTGGCAGGGCAGGGTCTGGCTGGGCTCCGACGGGGCCCTTGGTGTCCCGGTAGGAGGCTGCTATCCAGGCCGCCATGTCGCTGCGTGTGGCCGTATTCGACCTAGACGGGGTGCTGGCGCTGCCCGGGGTGGCCGGCGCCCTCGGCCGCACCGAGGAGACCCTGGCGCTGCCCAGGTAAGGGGACCCGGGCTGCTGCTCGCGGCCGGTCCGTGCCTCAGTCCAGCCTTTCTGGACTTCAGCCCTGGTCGGATTGCTTCAGGGAGAGTGGCCTTTGAACCATTAAAATAATTACCTGGCCCTAAAACGCTAGTGTATGTAAGTAGATTAGTGCTCGGTCGTTAAACTTTGCCAAGGACTCCAAAATTGCCCTCTGGCTGGAACTTCTCCAAAAGTGAGAGGAATTACTCAGCTGAGCTATCTGCTACCCGTTGGTTCTAAGAACTTGCCTCTGAAAGACCTGCGCTGAGATTTAGAAGCAAGTTGTGTCTGAGGTGTGGGTTGCAGGTTCAGTTAATACGATAGCAAAGTACAGAAACAGTCCAAAGCTCTATCACTGGGAAATGGGAAACCATCCACCAATAAATGTGATGTTCAGGACGAGATTTCAGTGACATCAGAAAATATCTGTTGACTCAGCACCTGTGGCTCAAGCAGCTAAGGCTCCAGCCACATACACCTAACGTGGTGGGTTCGAATCCAGCCCCGGCTGCCAAACAACAATGATGACTGTAACCAAAAAAATAGCTCGGCGTTGGGCCGGGCGCCTGTGGTCCCAGCTACTTGGGAGGCAGAGGCAGGAGAATCGCTTGAGCCCAGGAGTTGGAGATTGCTGTGAGCTGTGATGCCACAGCACTCTACCCAGGGGGACAGCTTGAGGCTCTGTCTCAAAAAAAAAAAAAGATAAAAGAAAATATCTGTTATAATACATGTAAAAAAAAAAACCCACCAGAATGTAAAACCATTTATACAATTATGGTTTCAATTATGGAAAAAAGCTACATGTAGAAAAATGGCGGGAAGAAATATATCAAAATAACCCTGGGTTATTAATTTGAGGTGGGATTATGAATGATTTTCTTTATTGTTCTACTGATTTTGTGTTTTCCAACTTTTAAACTTACTAACATGTTACTCCTACAATCAGAAGGGAGGGAGGCATAGTTGCTTAAGAAGTTAAAAAGGAAAATGGCCCAGGCACCATGGTTCACATCTGTAATCTCAGCAGTTTGCAAGTATAAAAATTGAGGCTCAAAAAAAAAATTGAGACTCATGGTTGGAGGATCTCTTGAGGCCAGGAGTTTCAGACCAGCCTGAGCACCCATAAAAATCCTATCTCTAAAAAAACATTAAAAAAAAAAAAGTCAAGTATGACAGTATATGCCTATAGTTCTAGCTACTAAGAAAGCTGAAGCAGGAGGATCACTTGAGCCTGGGAGTTTGAGGTTATGGTGAGCAATGAGGGTGCTACCACACTCAACCTGGGCAACAGAGTGAGATCCTGTCTTAAAAGAAGAGAGGACAGGGGAGGGGAGGGGAGGGAGGAGACGCCGACACCACCCAAGATACAAGAGAAAGAGCAAATTCTAAAGAACTGGCAAGATTAAGAAGCAGAGTGGGGCAGCGCCTGTGGCTCAGTGGGCTCAAAGTTCCATGCAGAGGGCAATTTTGGAGTCCTTGGCAAAGTTTAACGACCAAGCACTAATCTACTTACATACAGTAGCGTTTTAGGGCCAGGTAATTATTTTAATGATTCAAAGGGAACTCTCCCTAAAGCAATCTGAAACCAGGGCTGAATATACCACCAGCCCCATATACTGAGGGTGGCGGGTTCAAACCTGACCCTGGCCAAACTGCAACCAAAAAATAGCCAGGCATTGTGGAAGGCACCTGTAGTCCCAGCTAATCGGGAGGCTGAGGCAAGAGAATTGCCTAAGCCCAGGAGTTGGAGGTTGCTATGAGCTGTGTAACGCCACAGCACTCTACCGAGGGTGATAAAGTGAGACTGTCTCTACAAAAAAAATTTTAAAAAAGAAGCCAAGTGGAAGCTTTGCATTCTGAGAGTTCTGCGTCATCTAAGGAATTCTAGAATTCTTATGACACCAAGACTAGCAGGGGTTTTTAGCCTAAGCTCAAGCAATCCCCCCACCTTGGCTTCCCAGAGTGCTAGGATTACAGGTGTGCCCAGCCACACACAGTGTTTTATCTGAGGAGTCTGAGAGCCTCTTCAAATGATCAGGAAATTTTTTTGGTGTTTTTTGATTTTACAAATCAATTTGCAAATTTAAAATGGGACAGCAGTCACATCTCCTGTCTTGCTTGAGCTAAATAATTACCTCTGGAAGCCACTTGCTCTGCGGTTTCCAGATGACTCCAACTAGCCATTAAATGCAACATCCTGGACCCTCTAACTTTATGTTTCAACTATGGCTAGCCAGTCACTGATCAATGTTGTCTCTGTAAACCAGTAAGAATTCCTGTCAGACAACTTTGAATCAGCCCACTCACTCCTTGTTCCCCTTTGCCTTGAAAAATCTGCTTGTGAAAGAGGAACCCTCCCCACAGCAACTTGGAAGTGTGTCCCCAACTTTGCCCCAAATCAACTGTCAATATTAATATTAATCTTGGCTTGGGTTCTTCCTTTAGATCAAGAAAACGGATCTTATCTTTGGGCTCATAATTTTAATTCCTTTACCAGTTTACTTTTTTTTTTTTTTTTTTGTGGTTTTTGGCTGGGGCTGGATTTGACTCCGCCACCTCCAGCATATGGGGCTGGTGCCCTACTCCTTTGAGCCACAGGCACCACCATCAGTTTATGTCTTATTCATGGGAATTTTCTGTGTCTTTTGATTTTACAAATCAATTTACAATTTTTATTTCCTGTAATAGCCATTTTACTGTTTGCCGCCTTTATTCCGCGCCCTTAAAATTTGGAATTCATGTTTTTTAAGAATGTTACTATAATTTTTTTTTTTCTTTTTTGGCTGGGGCTGGGTTTGAACCTGCCACCTCCGGCATATGGGGCTGGCACCCTACTCCTTTGAGCCACAGGCACTGCCCTATAAATTACTTTCTTTGCTAATGGCTGCCTGCTGTCAATTTATAGATGCAGTTGAATCTCCTTCCTATGTAGTATGTTATTTCCCCAGTTCCTCTTCTTTGATTACCCCGCATTCTCCAGGCATTAAAAAAAAAATGATATTCCCTTTGTTTTTCTGCCTCATCATTCAATCTGCCATACTTATTTGTCTACACAAATAAGTTGTTCACCTCTCTTATTCTCCGGTGAACTCCCTACGAGTGCCTTGCACACCTAAGGGGCTCAATGAAAGGCTACATGTTGAATTATGTATTGCTTCCTAACACTGGGAAGCAGCGGCCAAAGGGCTTTTGGAGGGGTTAGAAATGTTTTAAAACTAGAACTTGTGATGTTTGCACAACTATCGATTTACTACACATCATTGGATACTTTTGAAATGCATGCATTTGATGCTACGTAATTGTCTTACTCTGTTTTCTGCTGCTGATAACACAATACCTGAAACTAGATCATTTATAAAGAAAAGGAATTTATTTCTTGCAGTTATGAAGGCTGAGAAGCCCACGGCTGAGGGGCTATGTCTGCGGAGGGGCTTCTTGCTGGTCAGGTGCCCCGTGGGGTCTCAAGGCAGATGTGATGAGAGGACTGAGTATGCCGGCTTGCGTCCCTCCTCTTCGTATGAAGCCCCCAATCCCACTCTATGACAATCCGTTAATCCTTGAACCCATTAATCCATGAACGGATTCATCCATTTCTGAAGTCAAAGCCCTCATGACTCAATCACCTCTTAAAGGCCCTGCCTCTCAATTACTGAGGATTAAGCTTCAACCTGCGCTCTGGAGGGGATAAACATGCAGACAGTAACAGTTACACCCTTAATGAAGCTTTAACAACAGCGACAAAAAACTGAGGGCAGAGGGGAAGCAAAGCTATTCCTTATGCTGAGAAGCTGAACAAGGCCTCAGATATTAAGTACACATGTATGTCTTTTCATATTTGGTCCAGAGTTCACCATGGTGACCTACAAGAGGGCCATTGATAATAGGCACTTGACTATTACCAGAAACAAAACTCCCAGGAATTTGTTCTTTGACTCAGACGTGTAATTTTAACTGGCTTGCCAATTCCAGTCAATAGGCACTATGGTGTAAAAGTTATTTTCTCCACCGTTCTGGAGGCTGGAAGTCCAAGATCAAGGGGTCAGCAGGGTTGGTTCCTTCCAAGGCCTCTCTCCTTGCATGGCAGAGGGCTGCTTCTCCTTGTGTCATCCCTTTATGTCTTTCTCTGTCCCCAGCTCCTCTATAAGGACACCAGTCATATTGGATCTACCCATATAGCCTCATTCAATCTAATTACTTCTTAAGAACACTAATTCCAAATAGAGTCACATTTGGAGGCACCAAAGTTTAGAACTTCAGTGTACAAATTCCAGGAGGAGGAAACAATTCAGCCCATACGCACAGAAAACTACAAAATTAGTAGATAAGATTAAGGTAAAATAGAAACTGTATATGCAGTATCCAAACCAGAAAAAAAAAATAATTCATTGCTTTTGAAGAATATGAACTAAAGAAAAAAATCCTTTGGGACAAAGCCTTAGGAACAGGGGCCAAGGACAGCGATGACTCCATGGCCAGCTGTGGCTCTGTCCCTTAATTGATAAAGCAGGGTAGCCCTCCAGATGAGTCTCTCCCATGAGCTGCTGCTCCTTTGAGTGTATTTATCATTCAGTTCATGGCCATATCTCCTCAGCAGGGTGGCTACTTGCAGGCAAAGAATCCCAACGTGAGCTGTTTTTGCATTTTCCAGTTCCTGGTAGCATGCCTTTTCAGTGGGAACTTCTCAGGGAATATAAAGTGTCTGTCCCCACATGCTGCTGTGATGAAGTCATTAGAATGTCCGTGATGTTGTTTCTTTGTGTCTTCCAGAGGCTTTCTGAATGAAGCTTTCCAGAAAGGAGGCCCCAATGGTCCCAGTGCCCGCCTCATGAGAGGAGAGATCACATTTTCCCAGGTGAGGGAAACAGATCCCCGTGGGTTGGCATTCTCTGCCTACATGCCCACCTTCCGCACTGACTGGAAGCTTGCTGAGGGCAGGACCTCACCTTCTTCACTCATTCCCCACTCCTCCTGCCGAAGCTTGATTTGTCTTTACAAAAATCTTATCTTGGGAAAGAATGCCATCTTCTCACTTTTCACACATGTACACTACGCAGACAAAAAAGTGGACACAGTGTACAGCTTGGTGAATTTTCACAAACTGAAAATACTCATATCACTAGCACCCATATCAAGAAATAAAACATTCCCAGCCCTGTGGGCAGCCAGGTATCCCCCCTGTGGACACTACCCCTCCAAGAGAATCATCATGCTGACTTCTAACCTAATAGATGGCTTTTGCTTGTTTTGTACTTTATACAAATGGAATTACGTAGATGAGCTCTTATGTCTGGCATCTTTTGCTCACCATTATACATGTGAGATTCCTAGATGTTATAGCACGCAGTTGTAAAATCATGTCATTCTCATTGCTGCATGGATTCTCTTGCATGAATATATCCCAATCTATTCATTCTGCTACTGTTGGGTGTTTGGGTACTTTTCAGTTTAGGACTATTACAAACAATGCTGCCACAATAATGTGTGTATACCCCAGTCTGTTCTGCTGTTAGTGAGTATCTTAGTTTGTTAGGCTGCATCTTAGTCAGCTTGGGCTGCTATAACCAGGATATCATAAACTGGGTCACTTAAACAACAAACATTTCTCACAATCTGGAGGCTATAAAGTCCAAGATCAAGGCACTGGCAAGTCCAGTGTGTGCTAAAGGCTCTCTTCATTTCCACCTCCTTGCTGTGTCCTCCCTCAGCATAAAGCAGAAAGAGAGAGGGAGAGAGAGAGAAAGCTAAGGGCACTAATACCATTCATGGGGGCTCCACCCTCATGACCCAATTACCTCCCAAAGGCCCATCACACTGTGGCTTAGAATTTCAGCATGTGAATTTGGGGGCAGACACAAACACTCAGGCTGTAGCAGACTGCCATAACAAACACAACAGACTGAGTGGCTTAAACAAATTTCTCACGGTTCTGGAAGCTGGGGATCTCAGACCACAGCGTCAGCAGGGCTGGTTTCTCCTGAGGCCTCTCTCCTTGGCTTGTGGACGGCTGTCCCCGCTGCATCCTCACAGGTCTTCCCTCTTGGCATGTCTGTGTCTTAGTCTCCTCTTTTATGAGGACACCAGCTATATTGGATTAGGATCCATCTTAATGACTTCATTTTACCCTAAAGACATCTTTAAAGGCCATCTCTCCAATATAGTCATATCCTGAAATACGAGGACATCAACATATGAATTTTGATGGGAAACAGTTCAGCTGATAATAGTGGGGATTTGAGTAGTTTCCAGGGTGGGGCTTGCTGTGGTCTGGAAGTTTGTGTCCCCCTCCCAAAATTCCTACGTTCAAATTCTAACCCCAATTGTGGCGAAATTAAGAAATAGGGCCTTTAGGAAGTAGGCCATGAAGGTGGAGCCCTCATGAATGTCATTAGGGCCCTTATAAAAGAAATCCGAGAGAGCTAGCTGGTCCCTTCCACCAGGTGAGGATGATGAGATGGCACCATCTCTGAATCAGACGCTGAATCTGCAGGCGTCTTTATCTTGGAGTTCCCACACTCCAGCCCTGTGAGCAATAATTCCCGTTGTTTATGAGCTATCCAGTCTCCAGTATTTTGTTACAGAAGCCCAAACAGACTAAGAGAGGGCTCAGTGGGGCTATGACAGTGTATAAATATAGCACAGTCTGCTGTCGATAGGCACTGGAGTAATTTCCTATTTGGGATTCCTAAGAATACTGCGGCTATGAACATTTTTGTTCACGTCGTTTGGGGAATACATGTCAGCATCTCCAGTGGGTGTGTGTCCAGGAGTAGAATTGCTTGGTTACAGGAAGTGCACTTGTTAGGATTTCATTTCTGAATGGTTGTACCAATTGTATCATCATTTCTCTGACAGTGGGTGCCGCTCATGGAAGAAAACTGCAAGGAACACTCCAAGGACTCTGGAATTCACCTCCCTGAGAATTTCTCTGTCAATCAAATCTTTGGCAAGGCAACGTTAGCAAGAAAGATCAACCACCCCATGCTCCGAGCAGCTCTTGCTCTTAGAAAGAAGGGTAAGGGTCTGATACTGGCCACCCTGGCTCAAAAACACAGAATCTGCCGGAGGGTTAGGTCAGAATCCAACCAGGTGTGTTTTGAGATAGACCCTAGATCTTTTGGGCCTTGATAGAAAGCTGTTCTTAAAACTTGACCCCCAAGCAAGCTTTATCAAATGACAAAAGACTTATTAGAAGAGTGGGGAAATGGCAGAATTTTATCTAATGAAAGGATTTTTACCAAAGGCTGCCTTATGAGCAAAATTCTCTTCTTCCTTGGCACTAACTTGATTGACCCAACCTTCTGTCATAAAGATTAAAAAACAAAGCCTTTTAAGCAACTGTGACTTTCTCACCCTCTGGGTATCAGCTGTGAGCTGGCAGACATAGGCTCAGAGGATGTCACATGGCCTAAGACACAAGATGACGTACATCACAGGTGTTTTCAGGTCAGTGGCTCTGGTTCAGAGGCACACTTGAAACCATCCTGCTTCCATATTGGTAGACTCACCTGGCATAGCTAAGCCATCCCACATCCATAATTCCCCTCTCATAGGACATGAGAAGAAAACCAGTGTCAACCCACCTGAGTCTTGTTTCCAACACGGTCTGGTCCTCACCCTTGCTGGTTAGGCAGACAAAGCCAGAGGAGAATGCCATCTCTACTAATGTTTCTCTAGTTCTGAGATGTCTAGTTTAGCCAAAGCAGGTGTTTTGAAATATAATTGAACAGAGTTTGCAGTAGCATAGACAAGAAGGAACATGGGACCTGCGCTGTGTGGCCCTGGGCAGCTTGTAACTTATCTAAGCTTTATTTGGCTCAGCTGTAAGCATGGGATAGTGGGATCTGTCCTGTCCTCTGAAAGGTGGCAAGTGTCAAATGAGCTGACAAGGGTGGCAAGTGTCAAAACTCACACATCAGCTGGGCCTACAGCCATAAGGAGGAAGGGGTGGCAGCGTCTCCATCTGGGCTTCTGAAAACTCTTAATGAACCCAGCTCACTCTCATGTCTGTGTCAGGAGGTGCTTATGGGTAAAGATGGTTCTTTCCCCCTGAGTCAGTTGAGAGCTAGGAAAAAGGATATTGATGTAAGTGACCACTGGGGCCCCTGTGGGGCACCTGGAGCATCCCAAGGTCAAGTTCAGGTCCGTTCACTGGTGACTTTTCTTGCAGGATTTACAACCTGTATCCTCACCAACAACTGGCTGGACGACCGAGCTGAGAGACACAGCCTGGCCCACCTGATGTGCGAGCTGAGGCCGAAGTTTGATTTCCTAATAGAGTCCTGTCGGATCAGAATGGCCAAGCCTGACCCTCAGATCTACAAGTTTGTCCTGGACACCCTGAAGGCCAGCCCCAACGAGGTACGTAGATACTTCCTTCTAGGGAAGAAGAACATTCCAGACATATTGCAACCAAAGAAAACTTGAGGAGTGAATCGGGGGGTACACGTGGGGATCCCCGCAGGATTGTTTTAGGTCTACTTCTCCCAGACCAGACCTTTTCCTAAAGGACTCTCATTCATCCTTCTACAATGTTCTACCAGAGGTGGGCATCTGTCCCCTTACAGGACTTTGGTCAAAGCAGACATCATCAAAAGCTGTTAAGCCAGATGCCTCGGTTTCCCTATGAAGAAATCAGGACCCTGGGAGGCCTTCCCAGGGCCACAAGGCTAGTCAGGATCACCCAGGAAAGGGCGAGAGAGGGGTGGGCCCTGGTTCTGCCGAGTCTCCTACCAGGTACCCCATGCCCCGAAGCCTATCTTTACACTGGTTCCAGAGATGGCCTTCCCTTAAGCTCTGTTCTCATCCTGTCTCCGTGCTCTAATCTTCAAAAGGTGGTTGGACCAGGATTAAATCTCCTCCCCTTTCATTTTTGACCCTCCCCTGCTGGCCCTGCCTCCCCCACAAGCTGATCAGAACAAACCTTGGGCTCTACCCTTGGGATCCACGAGGAGCTCCATCCCAGGACCACCCAGTTCCCCTCACGGGCTTTGCTCCTGCCCCGCCCCACTCCCAGAGTCTACACAGGGCAGTGCTTGGAGTCCAAGCTTCTTCAGGGATGGCACGGGCTCTCCCCGTCTAGCTTTGGGGTTGGATGAACTACTTAGGGTTCTAGGTCAGCCTTGTCCAAAGCTGTAAATAAATGGTCCCATGCTTTCTTCTGTAACTCCCAGGATCTTTTTTTTCTTTATTTCTTTCGAAATTTAAATCCTTGATCATTTAAAACCTATTTGGGGGCAAGACCCTTTTTTCCTCCAAACTGTTAACCAGTTAATCCCATTTTTTAAATCTTCTTCTTCTCTAATTGGGCATCTTTGACACCTTTATTAGAAACTGCTTCCCGTTTGAATATGAGTCTATTTCAAGACCCCTTTTCTATTTTGTGGATATGTCTATATCTTTTTTAGTATCAAACTCTTCTATTGAAGCTTCATAGTTTGTTTTATTCTCTGCCCTCATTCTAGTTCTTTTCTAGACATGATTTTTTTTTTTTTTTTGAGACAGAGCCTCAAGTTGTCACCCTGGGTAAAGTGCTGTGGCATCACAGCTCACAGCAACCTCTAACTCCTGGGCTCAAGGGATTCTCCTGCCTCTGCCTCCCAAGTAGTTGGGATTACAGGCACCTGCCACAACGCCTGGCTATTTTTTGGTTGTAGCTGTCATTGTTGTTTGTCGGCCCCAGGCTGGAGTGGAACCCGCCAGCTCAGGTATATGTAGCTGCTTGAGCCACAGGCGCCGAGCCACTAGACATGATTTTTTGTCTATTCACTCCTGCTGATTTTCCTGGATGAATTTTAATGTCATTTAGACAAGAGTTTATCCTCTCCTAACCTTCGTGGTGTTTCAGAACTGCCTGAAACCAATGGTGTATGTGGGACATATTTATCTGTCTTTTCTTATGTATGCTTATCTAATTAAATGCTTTTAATTTTAAAGAATAAATGGTTATGGCCAGGCACAGTGGCTCATGCCTACAATCCTAGCACTCTGGGAGGTGGAGGCAGGTGGATGCTTGAGTCACGGGTTAAAGACCAGCTTGAGCCAAAGCGAGACCCTGTCTCTACCAAAAATACAAAAAACTGAGGCAAGAGGATTGCTTGCGCCCAAGAGTTGGAGGTTGCTGTGAGCTATGATGTCACCATGGCATTCTACGCAGGGCGACAGCTTGAGACTCTAAAAAAAAAAGAGTAAATGGTTACCTTGAAAGAAACAGAATTTTTAATCTCCTTATTATAAAATAATAATTTGGGGTGGCACCTGCAGCTCAAAGGAGTAGGGCACAGGCCCCATATACCGGAGGTGGTAGGTTTAAACCCAACCCTTGCCAAAAAAAAAAAAAAAAAAAGGAACCAAAAAATATAATAACAACAATAATAATAATAATTTGTAATTGCAAATTTATAAAATAATGGGCAATTTAATATGGTCCTTTCTGGTGATCTGCCTCACGCAGAGTATTTCTTTGGTTGATGTGATGCTACTGTCCCCCTGCTGTTTTGGGTTCAGGTTGTATTCTTAGATGACATCGGGGCTAATCTGAAGCCAGCCCGGGACATGGGAATGGTCACCATCCTCGTCCGTGACACTGACACGGCCCTGAGAGAACTGGAGAGAGTGACTGGGACGCAGGTAACTGTGCCTCTGAGTGAGCAGCTCCCCACACTCACCTGCAGTTTCTGTGCGCAGCAGAGAAGACCGTGAGCAGAGAAGCCAGTGTCCGTGGAGGTCATTGTTCTGTGCATGACTCCAGGCACCTCTGGATAGGGTCAGTCCCTTACTGTGCAGTCAGCACTGTGTCCTTGAAGAACATCCTGTTTCTTTCTGGGCAGCCAGAGCACAGGGAAATGGATATTCCTAGAGCAAGAATTTGTACTGGCCTTGGTGTCAGAGTCAGGGGGACATTCAAAGACCCTGACCTTGCTTCCCAGAGTAAATGCTGAGTTTTTTTCTAAGAAGCATAGCCCCTACCTGGGCTGGCCAGGCAGCCAGGCACTCGGGTACAACCATTCAGCGCCACCCTGCTGGCAGTGAGAGGAGGGTGGGACACCTTTCATGAGGTCCAAGGCTTGTGGAGTTTCGCCTGCCCCCCAGGTCTGAGGCTCCCCAGGTTTGGGGTTGTCTTAAGATTGGCAACCTCATTGAGTCCACAGGTTTCCATGCTGGGCAGCACCCTGGTCCCGTCAGCACAGTGGAGTGGAGGCAGGAGAGTGCCAGCTAAGCCCAAAAGGCTACACAGCCATTGACTCAGAGGAAAGTGTGTTAGTTGGTTTGGGCCACCAGAGCAAAGTTCCACCAATCGTGTGGCTTCCACCACACAAGTGTTTCTTTCTTAGAGTCCTGGAGGCTAGAGGTCCCAGATCAGTGAGGCCTCTCTCCTGGGCATGTGGATGTCTGTCCCTTCCCATGTCCTCACTCATCCTCCCTGTGCCTGTTTCCTCAATTGGATTATGGCCCACCCTTGTGATCTCATTTTACCTTAATTATCTCTGTAGAGGGCCCACCCTTGTGATCTCGTTTTACCTTAATTATCTCTGTAGAGGGCCCACCCATCTCCAAATATAGCAGTCCCACTCTGAGGGGACTGCTAGCAGCTTCAACATGTGAATGGGGGGGGGGGCAGTGGACACAGCTCAGCCTGTAACAAGCTCAGCTCACTTTTTGTCTTTAAGAAATAAATAAAAAGGAACATTTAATGACTCCACAGCCTCAAAGCATCTTGCCCAAGTTCTATTTGTTTGTCCTTCTTCAAGCCTAGAAGTCTCAACAGAGAAGAGAAGGAGATAGATGTGAGGTCAGGATGCCCACATGCTTGTCCCCCTGGCTGGGTTTGTCCCCTCCTCATGTCTGAGCCACAGATATCTGTCCTCTCAGATTGGGAAAGTAAACCCAATCAATGACCCACCTCTGTTCTCTTTGGGAGACAGATTCTCAAGGATTTAGAACAAGTGATTTTTGCTTCCTGCTGTGGAAAGTTCAGTTGACAGTGGCCAGGGCCTTCACTTCATGAGGTCACTGGGGGAACCGGGTTGATGAAGGCCCCATCATCTCCTATGGGAGGTTGCAGGGTCCCACCATACACCCACCGGGAGATGGGGAAAATGCAGAGAATCGCTGGGGTTGGGGGTTAGGGGGCCAGGCCCTCTGCGTTCTGTCGGCCAAAACCCAGTCATGGGACTCCAAAAATGGGAAGGAAGGCGGGGAATGGAGTTTGGCTGTGCCCAACACAAGGGGAGAGGGGCTGGCCCTCACTAGTAGGCTCAGGAGAGACGGTGAAGGTGACCTCCCAGCAGGTGAAGTCCCTGCTGCCGCCAGTCCTCGGGGGCGTTGGAGGGAGGCCGCTGCTTCTCTCACTGCACCTTTTCTACTTTCAGCTGCTCAGCACTGAGGTCCCTCTGCCCATCCCCTGCAATCCAAGTGACATGAGCCACGGCTACGTGACAATAAAGGTGAGCTCTCTCTCTAGGTGGCTGCAGGCTCTCTAACCAAGTCACCCAGAATGACCATCAGTGTGACATTTGCTAAATATTAAGTGTAGTTGAACACCCACTATTTATAAGGAAATAGTAACAGTACCTCCTCCCACAAGTCTCACATCTCAGGAATCAATAGAAGACATGGACCTCACATCAAGTTATGAAAAGCGGTGGGACCAATGTGGCCCCGCCCCACCTGACAACAGGCCTGGGGGCCTTGCCTAGCCTGGTGCCAACGCACATGCCCATCTGGCCTGTGTTTCAGGAGGACCTGTTTCCACCCTCAGGTGTATGTCGAGCATGTCCTCTGTGTCAGGTGCAGTGACGAACACGGCAGACCTGTCCTCGAGGAGCTGCACTGGGGATAAAGAGAGGGAAAGATCATTAATGCCCCATGATGGGGGCTGTAGCAAGGCCAAGGTCACCTGCGGAGGCCCCGTTTCTGACCTGCCTGGGAGAGCTCCTCTGCCTGCTGGCCCAGAGCCCAGCTTTGGACTCTCTCAAGGGTCACTCAACATCTGCCTTCATGTGTCATTTGCCCCACTTGAATGAGAAGGGAGCTAAGGCTATGGGTCAGCTCTAGAGAGAAATAAGGACAGACAGTGGCTCTGGAGCCAGGCAGACTCTGTGATTCCTGGCATTGCCACTTAACTGAGTTTGCAGCCTTGGGCAAGTGTGAGCCTCTGTACCCACAGCTCTGTAAGGAGATGGCAGTAATGTGTTCCCACATGGCTCCCGTAAGGGTTAGGTGCAATGTTGCACTATGTAGACCTCATAGTACCCCACAGGGCTGATGGCCTGTGCATTGGCCTGGAAGCCTTTCTGCCCTGGAGCAGAAACTCACAGATGTTTACTGGGCATCTGCTCTTTGCTGGGCACACAGAAGAACACCCAGAAGCATGGAGTGCCTTCCACGCCCCAGAGATTTCACAGTAATTGTGGCTACAGCACAGGCTGAGTCTCCTGCTGGACAGCTGAGCCCAGAAGTGCTCTCGATGGTCTTGCTCTGTGATGGGGGGTGGGGGCCAGGGCCCTAAGCACACAGTGCACATCCCAGGGCAGTGTGATCAGGATAGTAAGAAAGGGCTTTTCTGAAAGCTACTGTGGTCTCTTCTGTAACACTGAGCACTCCTGAGAGGCCGAATGTTTACTGAGGTCACTTCAGATCTTGTCTCTATCGTAGCAAAGGGGTGTGGAGGGGCATTTTTCCCGGGGCTGGGAGCTGGGTTGTGACCTGTAATCTTCACCACAGTGGACAGGGTTATTCTCACAATCATCCGGAGGTTGGTGTATCCAGCCAGCTTCAAGAGAGTCCTTATTTGACCCAGCAGGGGTGTGATCAGAAACGCATTGCTGGCCCTCCACCCCATCCCAAATATTAAGAGCTGAGGCAGTGAAATGGGGGCGGGAGGAGGGGGACAGCTGAGCCAGGCTCTCGGTGCCAGTGTGCCGAGTTCTGCTGCACCCTGACGAAGCCAGCACTCGGTTGGTAATAGATCTTTCTCATGTTCTGGCTTTACAGACATTTTCTTTAACATATCAAAACAGGAGGGTAGGAAAGTATTATACGTGTGTGCACGACTCGGCGCCTTTGGGTCGACATTCGTGTTAGAGGCAAAGCCAATGGTCTATCAGCCGCAAACCTGGAAACATTTTTTTCCAGGGTGAGGAGGATAGAATTCTAAAGTTAATTTTGCGGAGTGCTAAAGGGAAGACTATGGAACAACTTCTGACAAACAGACTGCAGTCCGTGAGAGGACTTGCAAAATGCTGTTTTATTGAGCAAAAAAAACTTGCTGTAAACTCACAAAGGAAACTTTCAGCACTGGGCACAGCTCGGAGTCATCTGAGATACAGCCAAGTGGGGCTGTTCCCAGTGAATTTGTCTACCGTGACCCTGGACATGCCCGGGCATTTCCATTAGAATGGTGAGCCCTGCCAATCCCTGCCACACTCATCACCCCTGAAAGGACTGCAGGTGTAGCAAAGCTTGAACACATTTCAGGTTTAAGAAGTAAAAGGCACTTACTGGAATACTCATGGCCTTCTGCACCTTACCTGACTATTATGCTTTGCACAAAACCAGCCTCCAGTTTAAACTCTTGAGAATACACCGGGACAGCACTAGAAACTATGAGAGCATGAAGGCATTGTATGGAGGAAGGCCAGGCTGTTTTGTTTTTGTTTTTGTTTTTTTCCAACATCACAACCTTCTCTTCAGGCTTCTCAGGAGAGTGGCCTGTTTTATTGTGCAGTTGGGCCAGTGTCTCTCCTCAGCCATCTTCATCAGAAGTTGGGGTCTTGGCCAGGCGCAATGGCTCACTCCTGTAATCCTAGCACTCTGTGAGGCTGAGGTAGGTGGATTGCTTGAGCTTATGAGTTCAAGACCAGCCTGAGCAAGAGTGAGACCCCTGTCTCTACTAAAAATAGAAAAACTGAGGCAAGAGGATCACTTGAGCCCAAGAGTTTGAGGTTGCTGTGAGTTATGATGCCAGGGCACTCTACTGAGGGTGATAAGTGAAACTCTGTCTCAAAAAGAAAAGGTCAGCCAAGGGCAGTGGCTCACGCCTGTAATCCTAACATTCTGGGCAGCTGAGATAGGTAGATTGCTTGAGCTCAGGAGTTTGAGACCAGCCTGAGCAAGAGAAAGACCCCATCACTAATAAAAATAGAAAAACTAGTGGGTACCTGTAGACCCAGCTACTCCGGAGGCTGAGGCAAGAGTGTCACTTGAACCCAAGAGTTTGAGGTTGCTGTGAATGATGCCACAGCACTCTACCCAGGGTGACAGAGTGAGACTCTGTAAAAATAAAATAAAATAAAAGTTGGGAATTTTAGCTGAGAGAGTTGGGTCAGGTGAGATCCTACAACCAACTGAGATGGTCAGTGGCCATCTGCAGACGTGGTGCCCAGTTCAGCTCAGCTTCCGCCTGCCCCCTTCTCTCTTCCACAGCCTGGAGTCCATCTGCATTTCGTGGAGCTGGGCTCTGGCCCTGCTGTGTGCCTCTGCCATGGATTTCCTGAGAGCTGGTTCTCTTGGAGGTACCAGGTAAAGAAAACCAGGGAAGGTGTGCCCCACGGGGGGAGAGGTGGGGAGGGGAGGTCTAGATGGTACAGCCCAGTCTAGAATATCACGAAGAAGCTGAAACCTGACACTGAAGCATTATCTCTAAACTATGACCACGATGGTTCTAGATCTCAGGGCTGTCCTGGACCTTGAGGTACCTTTGCAGATAAGAAGAGGGCAGATTTCTTCAAGACAGGCTATGCCACCTGCTGGGATATCTTTGTAGCAACTGCAGAAATTTACATGCACTTTGCTGGGAAAGCTGCTCTTTTAGATTTATGCAGTGCACAAACCCTACCACCATCCATGGTAGCCCTATCCAGGGGGGCTTGTTCTAGCCCCATGTGAAGGTAGCAGGTAGTGCCATGTGGGAATCTGAGCCGTTTTAGGAACAGAGGGGCAGAGGGAAGCAAGGAGGGAGTGTCCCCCAAGGACCGATGAGACAACACTATCCCTAAATCGTTTATCTTCCAGATCCCTGCTCTGGCCCAGGCAGGTTACCGGGTTCTAGCTGTGGACATGAAAGGCTATGGAGAGTCATCTGCCCCTCCTGGTGGGTTAGCTGTCTTGTAGCTGTCCTGTGTCGGTCACACCTCTAACTATCCGAGCTCTCTACCCCACTATGCTTCCTTCCCCTGTGGGCAGCCCTTTAATGGGATCTGGCCTCACCCCTCTACTGTCCTGCAGTGTCCTGTGTTGGTACATTTAGTCCTCAGATGTCCCTACCCCCATACTCTCAGTGGATACAGAAACCCCAAATGCCTGTCCCTGAGGGAATCTACTGCTAGTCATGGGGAAGTAGGGAGGGGACACACCACCCATCTCCAGAACTATGTTCACCTTAAAGAATTAAGTCTGTGCTCATTAAATAATAACTCCTAGCTCTCCCTCCCCCACCCTCATTCTCCCTCCATGATCTGATTCCTACAGACCATAAGTAGCTTCACACAGTCATTGTCCCTGTATGTCTGGGTTAATTCATTTGGGGGTCAGCTAAGGGCTTCTGTTTCTTTAAATGTACTTATTGAAATGTTTAATTTTATTCACACATACTGCCATTTTCTCTGAATTCTCTAGCCATAACTTAGCAACATAATTTAATATTCAAACTAGAACACTGTTAAAAGCAAAAGAAGCACTGTTAGTAATACACATAACTGAGAATATCCTGGACAAACAGACCTATGATCTTACTCTAATTATAACCTTTTTTTTTTGTGAGACAGAGTCTCACTTTGTCGCCCTTGGTAGAGTGCCATGGCATCATAGCTCACAGCATCCTCAAACTCTTGGGCTCAAGTGATCCTCTTGCCTCAGTGTCCCTAGTAGCTGGGACTACAGGTGCCCGCCACAACATCTGGCTATTTTTAGAGACAGGGTCTCACTCTGGCTCAGGCTGGTCTCGAACCTGTAAGCTCAGGCAATCCACCCGCCTTGGCCTCCCACGTGTTGAGATTATAAGCATGAGCCACCATGCCCAGCCTGCGTTTCATTTCTTTTGCTGGCATATTTAAATCATGTGTATTAACTATGTTTTTTATTTTTAATTACAGAAATAGAAGAATATTGCATGGAAGTGTTATGTAAGGTAAGAAAGCACTGGAGTAACATCTGTAACATCTTTTCCATTCTGAGTTTTTTTTTTTTTTTTTTGGTAGTTTCTGGCCGGGGCTGGGTTTGAACCCACCAGCTCCAGCATACAGGGCCGGCGCCCTACTCCTCTGAGCCACAGGCGCCGCCCCACCATTCTGAATTTTTCATCAACATAAGCCTGAAGCTCAGGTATCCATTCAAATCCTAAGGAACCATCATTTCATAGCATTTGACTATAGATTCTTACTGAAGAATAGACAATATTTTCAAATAATTGTCAACAAGTATGAAGCATTGACTGTGTGTCAATTGACAGAAGAGGAAACTGAGTCACAAAGAAGTTAAAGTAATCGCCCGAGGTGGTAGAGCCTGTAGTTCTGTACTATCTTGTGTCTCCATTCTGAGAATCTAAGAAACCTCTTTATTTCAGTAACAGTGTTGTTGACCAGACCTAGGGAGTTAGTGTGTGGACTGTGACAAGGATGGACTTCCTGTCCTAAGACAGGGGTGGGCACCACCAGGGAGAGGGGACCCTCACCATGGAGCATGCAGGGGAGGCCAGACCCAGGTGAGGAGAGAACACCACTCAAACCTCCAATGGGCTTGAGGGCAGGGCAGAGGCTGGAAGGGGCCCAGAGGAGGAAACCCCCTCTGTGTTGACCAGCACACTGGCACAGCTGCTAGTGACACTAGAATCACAAGAGTTCCCATCTCAGAGTGACAGGCCCAGTGGAACTCTCTTTTATGTGTCCCCCAGCCCCATGCACTAGCTGTGACCTCTCAGAAGCTGAACACACTACAAGCTTCATTTCTGGTCAGGCCTGCCCCTTGTTCCCCAGCTCCCAGTCTTGGCCTCTTGTGCTCTGAGGGTCCTGGTCATAATTGTGTCCCCGAGAGTCCTGCCAAAGTCACTTGTGACTGTGTGGCCCACCTCTTCCTACTTCTGTCCATAAACCAGGATATAACTCTGATTACTTGTGTCAAAATCTATTCTCGAGACAGATAACATTGGGTCATTTAAGAAAACTGCTTTCCAAAAGAATGTCTTTTTACCCAAAACAAACAAGATAAAGTGTGATGCTCCTTTCCTCCTGTTCTACCCCGTAAGAATCATTAGTATGTCCATAGCTGGGTATTTACTCAAGAGAATTGAGGGCTCATGTCTACAAAAAATATATGAATATTCATAGCAGCACTGTTCATAGTGGCCAAAAAGTGGAGAGAACCCCATGTCCATGAGAGGCTCGGTGCCCGTAGCACACGAATAAAGAAGATGTAGTCTGTCCACAGGGTGAAGTATTACTCAGCCAGGAGGGGGTGGGAAGTCCTGGTGCTTGCCTCGGTGTGACTGGACTTTGAGGACATGATGCTCAGCAGAAGAAGCCAGTGTCTGTCAGTGGTGGGAGCACGTTGTCCTGGGCGCAGGGCAGTGTCCCTAGTGATGCTGGGGCAACACGGGTGAGCTCTGCAGGGCACTTGTCTCCCCTCGTACTCTGGAAAGAGGCTGGGTTGCCGTCTTACAGGGTCCTGGCCCAGTGAGGGATGCAGACTGACATACACAGAACAATTCACTATGTGCACTGGCGTCTGCCGGCTCACTGAGAGGATGTGGGAAAGACAGGGACACCTCCAAGGACGCAGGAGCCAGCTCAGGCCACCATAACAAAGTGCCGCAGACTGGGCAGCTTCAACAACAGACATTTACTTTTGCAGAGTTCTGGAGTCTAAGACTGAGGTGTCAGCAGGGCCAGTTCCCCCTGAGACCTCTCTCCTTGGCTTGTGGATGGCCCCTACTCCCTGGCGTCCTCACATGGCCACCCCTCTGTGCATCTGTGTCCTAATTTCTTCTTCTAAAGACTACGGGGCCCACCCATTGGACCCCATTTTACCTCAATCACCTCTTTAAACACCCTGTCTTCAAATACAGTCAACATCTGAGGTACAGGAGTTAGGACGTCAATGTAGGAGTGTGGGGGGGCACAATTCAGCCCATCGCCAAGGCTGAGGTGAGTGTGTACAATTTCTGATTGTGTGTGTCTGTTTTCTTTCCTAGGAGATGGTAACCTTTCTGGATAAGTTGGTAAGTCATTATTTTGAACTGATCTCTTTGGAGAAGTCTGTTTGGGCCTCAGTGGCAAGAAAAAAGTCCAAGACTTTGGGGATGTCAGCTGCTGGTGCCTGGAGCAGAGATCCATGGACGTGAAGAGTGGTTGAGGATGTACAGGGAGAGTCACAAAGAGCAAGATGAAAAGAACAAAGAATGTGTGGAAAACAAGCTTTTTGTTTGTTTGTATTTTAATGAAAAGTGAGTTCTAGGGAATGAGAACAGAGATCTTTGCTGTCTTAAAGCCAGGGAGCAAATTCCTGGGTATCAGGTAGAGGAAGTTGGGAAATATCCTGTAGAATAATATTAATATATCCCAACTTTTAAAAAACTTACATCCTTCTGACACATCTAAAACCTAGTGCCTTCATGTGACGTTGTCAGATGTCTCAAACTCAGTAATACAAAAGGAAGACCAATCCACAGTGGTGATTTGACAACATGCTTTTGCAAAGCACATTTAGTTGGCCGAGACTCTATTTTATTACACCCTTCTCTCCACAAATTAAGTCTGGGCGGAATGAACTAAGGGAGGAAGGGCTCAGCAGGGCGGTGGCAGTGAAGGGGTAAAGAAGAGAGGACCACAGAGCAGTGGGACTTAGAGCTTCTTAACTGGGTGTGCAAGTCAGTGGAGGTCTGAGAGGACTGACCTCCAGTTCCTCAGGCACTGTAGGAGATGAGGAGGTGGGGGTGTCAAGGTCCCAACCCTCTGCAGAGTCTCAGCTCCACAGTTAGGTTTGGAACTTTTGCGTGTGATGAGGACAGGTGCTGTGGCCCAGAGTAGCCACTCACTCCTGATTCTGTGTGCCCTTCAGAAGAATGTGTCTTACTCAGATTTTTTTTTTTTTTTTGAGACAGAATCTTACTATGCCGCATTTGGTAGAGTGCTATGGCATCACAGCTCACAGCAACCTCAAACTCTTGGGCTTCAGTGATTCTCTTGCCTCAGCCTCCCGAGTAGCTGGGACTACAGGTGCCCGCCACAATGCCCGGCTATTTTGTGGTTGTTGTTGTTGTCGTTGTTGGTTAGCTGGCCCCTGGGATGGGTTTGAACCCGCCACCTTTGGTATATGTGGCTGGCGCCGTAACCCTGTGCTACGTGCGCTGAGCCTCTTATTCAGATTGTTGAGAAGTGACTGTGGTTGCTGCTAGTGGTGTCGGTGTCCACCCCTAAGCCAGTTGTTACTGGGACCCCCAGGAAGGAGATTGGGAAAACTACAAATGAGATGGTCACCCACCAGCTGCAGGCGGAGATGGAAGCCATGGGAGCAGCAGAGTCTGGGAAAGTGTCCCTGGAGGAGGGAGAGGTGGGAGAGGATGTGGAATATTCCAGAGTCTGGCAAGCACAGCGCCTCCGAAGCTGAAAGGGGAGGGAGTTTCAAAGGAAAGGACTGATGGTGCAAAACAGTCAGAAAGGAGCGGACCCAGGAGAAAAACATGCACCTGCTATTGGTGATGTGGCCTTAAGGTATTGGCCTTGAAGGGGAAGGTAGCACAGAGGACAAAGCCCAGTGGTAGCCACTGGATTGTGGCTCCGTATCTGTGCAGCCTTGGGCAGGTTGCCCAACTACGGAGGACCATCATCCCCCTTGTAATATGGGTACTAAAGGTTGCTGGAGAGACTCCACCTGGTAGATGTAAACACCTAGCACCATTCCTGGAGCAAGGTGTTCATGTGCCATGTGATGGCATTTTGATCAACAATGGGCCACGAGTACAACAGTGGTCCCTAAAATTATGATGCTGGACGGTGTCTATGTTTAGATGCACAAATGCTCCTGTGTTCCAGCTTTCTAGACCCCTCATTCAGCACAGTAGAATCTCGGGCAGGTTTGTAGTCTGGGAGCAGCAGGTTACGGCACACACCCAACGTGTGTGTGGAGCAGCGATGCCATCTGGGCATGAGTAAGGACAGGCCACGATGTTGCCCAGAATGTCCCTGTCATGAAGTGACACACGAGACTGTAGGCACTTAACGAAGGGGACCTGAGAGAGGAAAGTGCAGGCGAAAAGAGATTACAGACACTTTGGGACTTTTAGTGGTTAATTAAGGAGGGAGCTCCCAAAAGAGTGGGAGGCAAAAATCAAAGCCATTTAATAAACGATGTACATGGACACATGAGGATAAGTTATCCTTCTTTTACGAGGGAGAAAAAAGTGAAACAAGATTTTATTTGTGGGAAGATAGGGAGAAGGAGCCCATGGCCTCCTAAGAATGCTAATGAGGCCAGCTGTTTGGGCTGAGGGTCAGGATTGGTGGGAGGGTGGCCTTGAAGGGACGTTCTGAGCAGCCTTCATATTGGGGGGCTGGCTGAGGGCTGGGCCTCTCGGGACCACTGGCCTTTGGGCCCTTTGCACCCCACTCCAGCCATCTGCCCGTGTTCAGTTTCCTTCTTCTCCCTCCCCAGGGCCTGGCGCAGGCTGTGTTCATCGGCCACGACTGGGGAGGCATGCTGGTGTGGAACATGGCTCTCTTCTACCCCGAGAGAGTGAGGTAATGAGGCCCCGAGCAGCAAGAATGTGGGTGAGACTGGGCTTTCATTCCCGGGAGAATTGTGCCGATCTCGACTCCCAGAACACTTCTGGAAAAGTTACTGTAAATAAGTGGGTGACCTGGGAAGGCGACGATCCCTTAGCTCTTTAGTGCTTATGGACACAAGCCCCAGGAGGCCTAATGAGCTCAAGTCCAAGGAAGCAACAGCTGTTCCAGTTATAGGCAGTGGGTAAAATAACTTGGGGCCGGAGTGGCCGGTGGGATCGCAGAGGAGTCATGGCTGACCTTGAGGGGTGTGGGTGAGGCAGCAGGGCTAGTCAAGTTTGTAGAGATAAGCCCCAGGAGAGACTTCAGCCCTGGAGGGGAAGTCACTTCTGCCCCAACCTGGCTATGTGACGGATCACTCCACTTCTTAGCCCGTGGCTTGCTCAACCACAGAGGTGATGGGAGCTCCTACCCAGCTGGCCTGCGTGGCCATGCTCCGCCTGAGCTGGTCAGCAGCAGTTACAGCCTGTCTGACCTCCCGCTTCAGCCTCAGGTCTCAGCCAGTTAAATAAACATCATCACATTTCCCTCCAGTAATCTATGTAGTTACTTGTATTTGGCTAAGTTCATAAGATCAGAATTGTCAGGGAACTTGGTTCAGCTTCACTCCCGGCTCAAATGGTAGGATTATATCAAAGACGGAAAAGAATTGAACGGCCAAAATAGTTTTAAAGTCTACACGTCACTATTCTGCAAATCTCTCTAGCTTCTGTCTTTCTCTATGTCCTCTATCTCTCTTTCAAAGTAGAAATAAGAACTCAGTTCTTAAGACTCGGGTTCACCAAAAAGTTTTTCCACAGACTGCACTCCCTCCGTGCCACTTGAATAAGCCAAGGGAAGTGTAGCAACAAGCTGGGTTCACCCTCAAATCCATCCCTCCTTTACTTTCTTTCTTTCTTTTTTTTTTTTTAAGACAGAGCCTCAAGTTATCGCCCTGGTTAGAGTGCCATGACGTCACAGCTCACAGCAACTGCCATCTCCTGGGCTTAAGCGATTCTCTTGCCTCAGCCTCCCAAGTAGCTGGGACTACACAATGCCCCGCTGTTTTTTGGTTGTAGTTGTCATTGTTTCGCAGGCCCAAGCTGGATTCAAACCTGCCAGTGTATGTGACTGGCGCCTTAGTCGCTGAGCTACAGGCACTACTTGTTTTTTTCTTTTTTCTTTTTTTTGAGACAGAGTCTCACTGTGTCACCCTCTGTAGAGCGCTGTGGCATCACAGCTCACAGCAACCTCAGACTCTTGGGCTTTAGCAATTCTCTTGCCTCTGCCTCCCAAGTAGCTGGGACTACAGGCACCCACCACACCTGGCTATTTTTTGGTTGCAGTTGTCATTGCTGTTTGCCAGGCCCAGCCTGGGCTCAAACCCACCAGTTGGTGTTTGTGGCCAGCGCCCTGCTCACTGAGCTACAGGCACCAAGCCACAACCCTCCTTTACATCCCTGTTGCCGTTGTCCACCCTGCTCCCTCCTAGGTGAGAACACGGTGGTCAGCTGGGTCTCTGTGCTCTGGCTTCTCTCTCTGCACCCATGGGATCTGGCACCACTTAATTAATCCTCCTGACTGCAACTTCGAGCCCCCCTCCCCTCTTCTCAGAAGCCCGCTGTTTTTTTTTTCAGTTTCTACAGCATGGAGTCCAGACTCAGGCCTTTCATGTCCAGGCTCCCCTTGCCTTTCTGTTTTAATTTTCCAACATGCCCCAGCACAATTGTAAGCTTTGCCCCCTTCTACAACCTGCTCATGCTCCCTGGTGATGTGCTCCTCCCAGCTGGCGTTTCCCCTTTTCATCTCTCCCCACCCTTAAAACCAAGCTCAAATGCTCCCTGTCCATAAGGTCTTCCATGATGCACAAAGCCAGAAACTCCTCCCTCCTTAGACGCCCGTGACTACACTAGCCCCATAATGTGATCCTGTCTGTATTTTCTTTTCTTCCTTATTAAATTATAATAAGCCCCTGGAGGAGAGAAACTGTATTTAATTTTCTCTCACCTCTACTATTTCACACAAAATTAAACTCAACCCCGAGGAGATACAGTGAGTGAATAAAGGGAAGAAAGAAAATGAATGCATTTTTAAAAATTGGAGAGTCAAATGTCGCCATATTTTAATAGGTTGATATACTGCACGTGTGTGTATATTGAGGCGTCTAAAGCAAGTAGGTGAGAAGTATTGCAGTTTAGTGGGGGGGGGGGATGCTATGAATTAAGAAATGTGAGTTCTGATCCCATTCTCCCATACACTGCTAGTTGAGATCTTGGACATATAATTTCCCCGCTGTGAGTTTCAGTTTTGACCCATAAGGTCCTTCTTTGTTTTTGTAGACTCTCTCCTTACAGGGTCTGTGTCTTGTTGCCTCTCATTTCTATAGGGCAGTGGCCAGTTTGAATACTCCCTTCTTACCGGCCAATCCCAATGCGTCCCCCATGGACTTTATCAAAGCCAACCCAGTTTTCGATTACCAGCTCTACTTCCAAGAACCAGTAAGTGTGGGCCCCCGAGGGTTTGTCTTTCCTTTCCCTCTCTCCTCTCTGTTTGTGTGTCTCCATCTGCAGCATTCGCCAGAAATGAGTCTACAAATGGGCCCGGGTGAAACTGTCTGTGGCACGCAGTGGGTGCCATCCAGGTGGAGGCGTTTCTGTGTGTGTGGTTTGGGTGGTGGGCCCATGGGGGCAGTGCAGGGCTGATGCACCAAGTTCTGCTTCTGTGAAATCCTGGGGTGGGGAATGTAGCTCAGTGCCCATGGAGAGCCTCCCCCTGCAGGTTCTCTGGCCGTGAGGCTGGTGAAACCCACCTCTTTTGGTGACAGCTGTGGGCCTCACAGCTCTGGTGTCTCTGCCCACTGAGAAGTGAGATAAGTGATTCTAGCACCCTGGGCATACGAGCCCTGTAGCAACCCCCAAGTGTATCACCCCATGTGCCACAAAGATGTCCCCTGGACAGAGAGTGATATGTGTATTGGGGTGTCTGTGCCACCACTGACTGGAGTTCACTGAGAGCTGGGTCAGGAGTCATTGTCATCTGGCCTCATGGCCCCCTTCACCTGCCACCTTCCACTCCTCTGAATGCAGGCTCTGGACCCCAAAATCCAGCTGCATCTAGATAATTCCAGAGAGAATCAAAGATGTTTCCTTCAGACTCTAAAGAGAGAAGAATGGATGGAATTAATTAACAAGGAGTACAAAAGGTCTCCCCACCTCCCTCTCCCAGCCTCTGCCCTCTGCTCCCCGTAGGAGGCACCACGGACAGTGAGAATCATGACTGTGCCAGTTTCATTCGACCAGTAACTCTTGTCTCATGATGGTTTTCATTGACAAGAGGGCAGCTGTGTGATTCAGGCAGTGACTTCATACAGGAAAACACCTGAAGTCTCCAGCAGCACTTTGAAAAGTGCTCAATGTATCGCCCTACGCCATACAGCAGGGCTGGGGCCCTAAAAGGCCATAGCCTGGGTGTGGGAAGCTGTGAGCTTCCCTGGTTCAAATGGAATCAAACTGCCCTTAATAAGTTTGAGGTAGTCTCATTCTGGAGGGATGGACACCATATAGATGGTGTATAACTTTGCTGGGACTGCCAGAGCAGAGGCTAGGCAGCTTCCACAACAGAAATTTGTTCACTCATCGTTCTGGAGGCTGAAGTTCAAGATCAAGGTGCCAGCAGGGCTGGTGTCTCCTGAGGCCTCCCTCTTTGGCTTGTAGATGGTGTCTTCTTCCTGTGTCCCCCCGGGGGACGGTATCCTGGGAATTCAGGGAGTTCCTAACAGGGTAGTCAGGGGTCCTCCAGAAGGCCTGGAATATTTGGAAATTGCCCACCAGATTTACTGTGTGCCTGTGTTTTTCTATGAGAAGAATTCCTAGCTCTCATCTTACTATTTCAATAGAGGCTGAGAGCTGCTGGCCTGGGGGGCCTTACAGTGCCAGGCATGGTGCCCGGAGGCAGCAGCGTGGATCTTGCTGAGATGCTGCTTAGAAGTTCAGGCTCTGGGCTCAGCGCCTATAGCTCAACCGGCTAAGGCGCCAGCCACGTACACCTAAGGTGGCGGGTTCGAATCCCCAGCCCGGACCCGCCAAACAACAATGACGGCTGCAATCAAAAAATAGCCGGGCGTTGTGGCGGGCGCCTGTGGTCCCAGCTACTTGGGAGGCAGAGGCAGGAGAATCGCTTGAGCCCAGGAGTTGGAGGTTGCTGTGAGCGTGATGCCATGGCACTCTACTCAGGGGGACAGCTTGAGGCTCTGTCTCAAAAAAAAAAAAAAAAAAAAAAAAAAAAAGAAGTTCAGGCTCTGGAGCCCCCTCCAGCTCTGCCAAGCAAGGCTCTGAATTTTCCCAAATTCCCAGTTAACTTATATGCACATTAACCAGCTGCCTAGCCAGGCCTCCCCGCCACACACTCTGGGATTCTCCATCCTTTTCTCAGTGATCCACAAACATCATCTCACATCAGAAGGCTTCAGTAAACACAGATCCCTGGGCAGCACCACCAGGGTTCTGACTGAGTAGGTTTGCTGGGGCCAAAGAACGCGCATTTCCAGCAAAGCCCCAGCTTATGCTCTGGCGCTGAGGTGGCACTTTGAGCATCAACACAGAAGGCCCCAGGGAAGGGACACATTGGGCCACATTCCAGGTGGAACGTGGACAACCAGTTGTTGCCAGTGAGGGAGAGGCGCTGGGCCCTCAGGAGCAGACTTTGAAGGGAAGTGGATTGCTTGAGCTCATGGGTTCAAGACCCTGAGCAATAGTGAGACCCGGGCTCTAAAAAATAGCTGGGCATTGTGGTGGGTGCCTATAATCCCAGCTACTTGGGCGGCCGAGGCAAGAGGATCACTTGAATCCAAGACTTTGAGGTTGTTGTGAGCTAAGATGCCACAGCACTCTAACGTAGGTGGGACTCTGTCTCAAAAAAAAAAAAATTTATATTATAATTGTAGAACATAGTAAAACGGAAGTACTTCTGGTTCTCCATGTCCTCAAGTTCCACAAAGAATCTGTGTATTCAACCAGTCTTGGATCAAAAATATTTGAAAATAAAAAATATCGGTATAGGCTCAGTGCCTGTAGCTCAGTGAGCAGGGTGCCAGCCACATACACTGAAGCTGGTGGGTTTGAGCCCAGGCAGGGCCTGCTAAACAACAATGACAACTGCAGCCAAATAATAGCCGGACGTTGTGGCAGGCGCCAGTAATCCCAGCTATTCAGGAGGCGGAGGCAAGAGAATCGCTTAAGCCCAAGAGTTTGAGGTTGCTGTGCACTCTACCGAGGGCAACATAGTGAGACTCTGTCTCAACAACAAAAAAAAAAAAAATATATATATATATATATATACACACATATATATACATCAATACAGCAATAAAAGTAATACAAATAAAAAACAGTATAATAATTATTTAACCTTTACATTGTGTAAGGTATTAGAAGTAATCTAGAGATGATTTACAGCATACAGGAGGATGTGCTTAGGCTGGGTCCAAGTAAGTACCTGCTTACTGCACTGTAATATGAGGGAACTGGGCACCGAGGGATCTTGTATCCACAGGAGGACTCGAAACCAATCTTCCTTGGATGCTGAGAGACAATTGTAATAGTTTTATCTTGTCGTATTTTGATCAAACCACGTTTACAGTATTTAGCAGTGGTATTTAGCTTATTGACAATTTTTTTTTCCTTTTTTTAAATCGTAGCAGAATACACATAACATGAAATTGACCATTTCTTAACCATCTTTAAGTGACATTAAGAACATCCACATCTTTGTGCACCAGTACCACCGTCCATCTCCTGAACTTTTTCATCTCTGGAAGCTGAAGCTCCGTCCCCATTAAACACTGATTCCTCATCCCGCCTGTCTCCGGCCCCTGACAGCCCCCATTCTACTCTCTCTGTCTGTGAACTTGACCACTCTAGGAGCCTCGTATAAGTGCATCCCACCACGTTTGTCTTCTTGTGAGTGGCTTATTTCACTTGGCATCATGTCTTCAAGGACCATCCATGGTGTGCCATGTGTCGGAATTTCCTTCTTTTTAAAGACTGAATCATACTCCAGGGTGACACATTCTGTTTATCCACTCACCCTACTGGTGGACCCTTGGGTTGTACCTACAGCTTTTTTTGAGCCCCAATATATCAGGTGATTCTAATCTTCTCAACTAAGCAAACAGAGGCACTGAGGGGGTAACCAGCTGGCCCAGGACCAGCTACAAGGCTGGATTAGGACAGCTACCCCTTCGCTTGTTTGGCCACAGAGGCCACGTGCCTCTCCCTAAGCCCCACAAGGGAGCTTGGACTTTATTCTGTGTGCTGTAGGGATCTAAGTGGAGAAAGGAGAAACCAATCAGGACAAAGTTCAAAGTCCTGATTGAAAAAGTGACCTGAGGGGGAGAGAGATCCTTAGTAATTGCAGCCCTAGTAAGGACAAAGTTTTTTGTTTCAAAGGTTGTTACAATGATTGTAGAAAAATCAGTACTTCTATTGTTCTCTTGCAGCAGCTGGGTTTAAATCTGCAAGAATAATTTGGGGAATGGTTTTGTTCTTAAGAACAAAGCCCCTTGGCAGGGAAATGTTAGCTATTCAGACTGGGGATCTGGCTGCGGGAAGGCACCCAGCAACCAGTTTGGGGGTGAATCTGGCAGCTGGGACTGGTCAGCAGGGGCAGGGGGCTGGGTCTACAGGGGAAGGTGACCCCTGCCAGCCTGTCTGGTTCCTGCTATCTAAGGAAGTGAGCATGCCCGGCACTTCCTGTCTCTGGCCCTCAGATTCCACTTCTGCAAATGGGTGGTTTTCAAACAGGCAATAGCATCAAACTTAAGCTGACTTCGGGTCAATACATAAAACCAATAACATTTAGCACAGTAGAGCAACTCTTTGATCCAAGAAAGGTGCTGGAGTCCCTCCCCCCAGCCAGGAAGAGACACCTGTGGTTTGTCCCACTTCTTCCCGGGAGCGCTCAGAGGGCTCCTCTGCTCAGTGGGTGCACCGGTGACCCCTGCCTCTGTCTCATCTGTGCAGAACCCCCCAGGGTGAGACTTAGATCAACTCTCGGGGTTGCCATTCAGCTCCACTAGCTCTGTGAGCCCGGAGCTAACACTTTGCTGCCTCGTCCTGGAAATCTGCCAAGTCTGGTGGAAACTAAAAAGGTTTTTCTTTCCTTCTAAGAGAAGAGATAACAGGCTTTCCACTTATATCACTGGAAAGGAATGATCCGACAGTAAAGACAAGCTGACCTGTTCTAGTTTTTAATTTTTTTTTTTTGAGACAGAGTCTCGCTTTATTGCCTTTAGTAGAGTGCTGTGGTGTCACAGCTCACAGCAACCTCCAACTCCTGGGCTTAGGCAATTCTCTTGCCTCAACCTCCCAAGTAGCTGGGACTGGCACCCACCAGAATGCCCGGCTATTTTTTTGTTGCAGTTTGGCAGGGACTGGGTTTAAACCTGCCACCCTCAGTATATGGGGCCAGCGCCCTACCCACTGAGCCACAGACGCTGCCCCTATTTTTTAATTCTTAGGATGCACAAAGTCCTCACTTAGCTGGGGGTAGCTCGGAGCCCCTCAGCCTCCACCACCAGAATGTGTGTGGTATAGACTGCGGCCCCGGCCTCTCTCCTTCCTGACACTGTTCCTTTTCCCTATTTTTAATTCTTTGTATGTATTTATATTTGGTTAGGGGGAAGTAGGTGGTAGGCATGTGTGTATGTGTGTGTTTGAGAGAGAGAGAGATTGATGAGATTTCAGGCACTGAAACCTCACTTTGTTGAAGTATTTAACCAGATGAGAAACTAGGAAGCAGAATGTGCAAAAAGAGAATTGTAGGCAGTAAGTTAAGGGGAAAGGCTGAAGAGGACCCCCCCCCCCCGCCCAACATCCACTAATGAGTTTCCTTCTCCGTTATGGGGCTGGGTTTTTCTTTATCTCTAGAACACAGTAGCTCCATCAGGCTACAGGGAGTAATTGGGTACATGGTTTATCTTTTAGGCCTTTTTTTTCATTATAAATAATTCATGCTTGCTATTTAAAAAAAAAAATCCTGAGTTGTGTAAAGTAAAAACTTAAATCTTCCTTTACCCACCTAGAAACTACGAGTATCACCATTAATAGTTTGGTATTTCACAGGCTTTTTTTTTTTGCTTTTTTTTTTTTTTTTTTGGAGACATAGTCTCACTCTGTTGTCTTTGGTAGAGTGCTATGGCATCCTAGCTCACAGCGACTCAAACTCTTGGGCTTAAGTGATCTTCTTGCCTCAGCCTCCCAGTAGCTGGGACTACAGGTATCTGCACCACACCTGGCTAGTTTTTCTATTTTTAGTAGGGACGGGGTCTCAGTCTTACTCAGTCTGGTCTCTTAACTCCTGAGCTTAAGCAATCCACCCACCTCGGCCTCCCAGAGTGTTAGGGTTACAGGTGTGAGCCACTGCACCTGGCCTTAGACATCTTTGAAATATACTATGAAGCAAATATGTGTTTATACACACATGCACAGTGTGTATATATACGTTTAAAATAGAAGTGAAGATTTACTAGCTCTTAGACAGATTTTTCTGTCAGCACATACAGATTTATCTCATTCTTTTTTTTTTTGCAGTTTTTGGCCGGGGCTGGGTTTCACCCGACCCCCTTTGGCACATGGGGCTGGTGCCCTACTCCTTGAGCCACAGGCGCAGTCTCCACTCCTTTCTAAGTTGGCTCTAAGGAACTCTTTATCCTTAAATGACCTCAGAGATCTCTAAGACAAAGCCTGGGGCCAAGGAATTCCTAAGGTTCTGTTCTGGGTGCTTAATTTAGAACCTAGGCTGTCTTCAGTTTGTCCATAGCAGGGGGTAGCTTTGGGGTACAATGGAGCAGATGTGTCCAGATGACTTGGCTCTGTAGGGCGCCGTTCAGCCGGTCTTTGGGAGGGGAATTGGTTGTTTAGTGAACATGATCCCTCTGTGGAAGCAGATAAAACAGGAGCCACAAGCCCTGCGGTCCTTTAGGAGGCCTGCGCACCCAGGCCGCACCTGCCACTTATTCCTTCTTCCTTCCTCTCTTCTTCCCCCCTTCTTCTCCCTCTCTTGCCCTTTTTGGGTACCTGCCATTGCCCTGCTGTGGCAGCGGTCATCAAAACATGAATAAGATACCCTGTGCGTCCCTAAGAAACTCACAGGCTGATGAGAAGACTAGACGTTCACACAGACAGCTGTGATGCGGTTCCGTCACTTCAGTGCTGGAGGTCATATCAGAATGGGTTACCGTTTATTAGCATGTGCCTGTGTGTCAGGCATTGCTAAGAAACAGGCCTTATCTCATTCACTCCTCACAAAACTCCCATTTTACAGATAAGGAAACCAAAGCACGTGGGGAGGAAGTTCCCCGGCTGTGGTGGGTGCCTGGGCTTGAAGCTGTGTTCGATTCTAAAGTTCGTCCTTTAACTCCTGCGCTCAAAGGAGGAGCTTCTATCCCACGGGGCAAACGGGAAATTTGTCATTGCTCTGTGGGACTTAAAAATATAATCTTCCTCTTTGTAGATCAGAGACGGATGGTCTCTGGCTGGGCACATAAGCAGAGGACAAACACTGTTATCTCCTCGCGTTTCGGCCCTCACCTTTACCCCACTCTCCCTGCCCATCTGATGTGCTTTTTTGTGGGTCCAACAGTTTTTTTTACTTTTTTGCTCTCTTTGATCTTGTATTGACGCTTTTGGCATCCGTTTACTCTTGGAAAGGTCATTTGAGGTCAAAACTCTGTCCAGCCTTTTGAGGATTCTTCTGAACACTGAAATGTATCCCTGAGCGCGTGAGCAGCAGCTGTTTCTGGGACAGGGACTGCTCTCAATAAATAAGAAGGACAACTACGGGCAGCACACGAGGCTGACCAGGGTTCACATCCATCACTTGAATGTACTTCCCCCCACGGCTGTTGCCTGCCTTAGCATCCATCATGGTGTTCCGAAGGCCCCATTGATTCTCCGTTGTAATTGAATCTTACCAAACAGAGGGAGTGTAATTAACACAGACTTGGCTTTCATCAGAAAGTCTCCAACCTCAGCCCCAGCACTGCCAGATGATAAATGCCCCCTTCCCTCCTGAGCTACCACTGCCCAGATCCAGAGCACTCATGACGAGTGATATTCAGGACAAGGAAAGGCGATCTCAAAAGTGTGCAGGGACCAAGGCCAACAAGGCCCTGGGGTGAACTCTCTGTAGATGTGGCTTCAGGATCCTCCTCTCTGGAAATGTGCTTCCAGCTCCTGCTCTATCCCAGGGCAGCCACAGATGCTGTGGAGAACAAGGTGGTCCAGGAGCACATGCTGAGGGCTCTGCAGGATCCAGGAAGAATGGAGCTCTCCTGTGGTGGGGGAAGTTCGTGAAGAAGGCAGTGTGTGGGTCAGGCGTTGAAGGCCAAACTGGAGAGAAGTGGGTGTTCTTGGGGGAAGTCACGATGTGTTAAACCAGTGAGGTGGGCAAGTAACATCCTAGGATGCAGTTTGGCTTGTACCTGGGCACATGCAGGTGAGCCATGAGAAGACAGAGGGTAGGTTGGCATAACCACCCTTGCTGGGTTTCCTCCCATAGCACCAGTGCCTTAGGGACTGTGCTGTGAAAGGGTCTTTATTATTTCTGAACAGTTACATCTTGGAACGCTGCCTCAGGGACAGCTAACTGTCTTTCCCCAGACTGTTTCTGGAACTCACATTGTACCCCATAATTGCATTAAGGTACACAGCTATGATTTAATAACATAAAAAAAGAAAAACTGTGTCTCAAACAGCTTTCAACTCTTAGATTAACCTTGTCCTTTCATGCTCCAAAAAGCCATGAACCAGGAGCCCCCAGCCCCTAGAGTACAATTCACCGATAGATTTCTACAGCCCTTGCCAAGGGCCACCTACCGCCTGTGCCCCTGTCTCAGCGTCCACTTGGCTGAAGTGTTCCTGGTTGGAGGGTTTGGGTAGGAGGGAAGGGAGGGGAAGCTAAAGGGTCTGGGCTCTGAGCCCCCAGGACTCTTCAGTGACCCAGTCACTTCACCTTTGCCCTCAACCACCCCCACCCCCGCCCCCTAGACCATCAGGAAAGTTTCAGCCCTATTTGCTATCTCCCAGGGGTGGCCTTCTAGGTCCATGGTGTTGCCTTTTAACTGAATCCAAATTTTACAGAACAAATGCTTTTATTGAAAGGGGTGCGGTGGAGAAAGAAGAAGCTTCTCTTGCCTTCTTTGGTGCTGAAAAAAGAACAATCTTGAAATCAGAAGGCTGCAGGCTCCCCACCCCGAGGCAATTAACTGTAACACTGCTCACATGAGGTGGAAGGACCTGGTAATTTGTCACCAAAAGGATACGTGTCCGGGCTCTTTCACAATGGTAGTCTTGCCGCCTCGCCTGCAGGAAGACAATCCCTTGGGATTGGCAGATGGTCTGTGATTAGACCCAAGTCAAAGGAGTTGGCTTTGAAATTATCACGGGAGAATTTAGATCCATGAATGGAATAGCTTTGGCTCAGCGTCTGGCTCTTCCAGCAGGCTTCTGGGAATCTCGAGCCCTTCTCCTCTTACCACCCATCGGCCTGTTCCTATCTCAGCCCCCTTCCTGTTCTTCCCAAGGAAATGTTACGAGTCCCACTCTCACTGCGGGAAATGTGGAAAACACCCAAGAGGGCAGCAAATGTGCACCCACCTCCCCGGGGCCACTGTCAGCATCTTGCGTTTTATTTTATCATTTTTTAAAAACACTGTGTTTCAAGATGCACTTCAAACTAGTGCAGTTCCAATGAGATTTGGACTGGCTAGGACAGTGGGTGGGGGGTTCTCACTGTCAGTTAGACAGAGCACGGGTACTGTTTTAAGATTTCTGAGGGGGCCATCATTTTGCTTTCTTGATTGTTTTAGGGAGTGGCTGAAGCTGAACTGGAACAGAACCTGCATCGGACTTTCAAAACCTTCTTTAGAGCGACTGACGAGGTGAGGCGGGAAGGGACAACCCCCCGGAGGGGGCTGCCATGCAGAAGCCAGGGTAACCAGGTGTGCCAGGGTCTGGGGATTTAGCATTTGGCTTTCTTTCCTTTGACTTCTATGGTCAGGGTTATTGGGGTCCTCACTCTGCCGGCTAATGGGGGAAAAGTCACACCCATTTTTACACAAGATCAGAGAATGATTATAAAATCAGCAGTTTGGAAATTAGTTATCACCTTTACCATTTTAATATACATAATTGACTTACCCAAGTGCCAAACTAATCGATATATTTAACTCTTTTCTTGAACACAACCAAAGGTGTTTAGAATGTTTTATAACTTGGCCACCTGCACCCTCCTGTGTATGTGTCAGCAGTCATTGTCACAATCGTTGTTTTATATACAGTCAGTGCCTACTGAGACTTTCCCAAGTTTTCCAGTTTCTTTCTGATCACTCCTGCATCTCACTCATTCACACTGAGTGCAGTTTCTTTTTTCTTGAGTATCTGCTTCAGTAGTTCTCTCAGTAACGGTCTGTTAGTGGTTAACTCAGTTTTTTGGTCTGGAAATGTCTTTATTTTGCTTTTAATCTTGAATAATGGTTTATCTGAGTATAGAATTCTAGGCTGACAATTATTTTCCTTTACGAGCTTTTGGCATTGCTTGTGAGAACTTGGCCTCTGGTCTACCTTCCTGTATATTAATTGTCTGCCTTAGATGTTGTAGTGGTTCGATAACATCTTTGACATTTTCTTTTGAATTTCAATGAACAGGTTTTTTTTTTTTTTTTTTTTTTTTTTGCGAAAGTGGTAATTTTATTTAAGACAGAGTCTCACTCTGTTGCCCAGGCTTGAGTGGAGTAGCATGATCACAGGTCACTGCCACTTCAAGCTCCTAAGTTCAAACTATCCTCCCACCTCAGCCTCCAGAGTAGCTGGGACTTACAAGCACATGCCACTTCACCTGCCTAATTTTTTTTTATTTTTTATAGCTATGAGATCTAGCTATGTTGCCCAGGCTGATCTTGAACTCCTATCCTCAAATGATCTGCCTGCCTTGGCCTCCCAAAGTGCTGGGATTATAGGCATAAGCCACCACATCTGGCCTTTGGTTCTCTTCCAAATCATTGATCTCTTGTGTCTTTAATAATTGTAAGTATACTCATTTATCACTCTCTTTCTCTCTCTCTTTGCATGTTCTACTATTTTATGCTTTTGGAGAGTCTGATTTTACCACTTGCTACATTTGCTATCTCCTGTGATAGGGCGTGTGTGTGTGTGTGTGTGTCCTGTAATTTTGATTTGTGAGCTTGTCTTCAGAAACACTTACTCTGTACTGGTCTGCTTCAGTTTGGATTGAGGAAATGACCCTCTTGAGGGGGTTAGGATTTCTTCTGCAGGCCTCCTGGTGGTATGAGCAGCCCAGGCTCACGTTGTTGTTGTTGCTTACTTCACACCGTGGAGGTTCCCGATCATGCAGATGGCATCAGTTCAAATCAAGCATTTATGGAGTCAGTCTGTACCACCCAGGGTGTTTTTTTGTTTTTCTGTTTGTTTGTTTCCTCCTAGCACTCCTCAGTTATAGCACATCAAGGCATCAAGATTTACTATGGAGGGGCAGCTCATCCTTAACTTCCCACCCTCTGGAGGCCTGAGGGCCCATTGCTTAGTCCCACTTTCTCATAGACCCACATTCTTACACCGCCATGGTCTGAGAGTACCCGGAGCAGCCCGGCCCCAAGCTTTGGCTGTTAGTTGGCGCCCTCCTCACTGTGACTCCTGGGGGTAGGAGGGGAGAGAGAAAGTGAGAGAGAGAGAGAGAGAGAGCACTTAGCACATTAGCTGTCAGCTGCCCAACAGCCACAGGTCTTTTTTGTGACAGGGTTTGGGATAAGCTATTCCCAGCTTATTCTTGGCTCACCTTATGATGTTATTACTAACTCTTTTCTTTCTACAGAATATCTTATCTGTGCAAAGAGTCTGTGAAAGGGGTAAGTGGCATTTCTGGGAAAGAAGGGAGGTGGGAGGGCCACATCTAGAACCAGCTGAATGTGACGTGAATGTTTCTCCCTCTGCCTGCTATGGGCAGAGCTGGGGGCTGGTAGTGCCTGGAGTACAGAGGGTGTCTGCCCACCCTGTGCATGTTTTTTGGAGAGGCAGCTGTCATTTGTCCTGGGGCAGTGATGACAGACATTAAGGCCCAGGCCACAGGGACTGTCAGGCTCCAGCATGACAGTGTCCAGGGCCCAGCTCAGCGCTCTGGAGGCAACGGGCTCACTGTAGGGAAGGACGAGAGGGCAGACAGTGAAGGCACATGAGGCCCTTTGCATAAATTCAGAGGGACGTGAGGGCAGTGAGGTGCCTGACCTCAGTTAGGAACGCCAGGCCTGGACGTGGGAGACTCCACAATGGCTTTTTGCAGGAGGACTCTTTGTGGGGATGTCGGAAGAGCCCAGCTCCAGCAGGATCACCACTGAGGAGGATGTCCAGGTCTACGTGGAGCAGTTCAAGAAGTCCGGTTTCAGGTAGAGAGAGAAAGTGACCAGCCCCACGTGACAAGGGTGGGCACGCTTCAGCTCTCAGAGTGGACGGTGAGGTGCGATTGTCCTCTGCAGCTCTCCTAAGCGCCAGGCCAGCCTCTGCTTGGGTGCCTCCAGTGTCCGGAGGGTCACCACCTCATGGTGCTCAGCCTGCTCTAATTTGGGGTTACTCAGCTTGCTCCCCCAAAGCATGTGGGCTGCCCGCAGGCAGAGTCTTTTAACTGTTTTCCAGTCATGAGTGTTCCAAGAATCAGATGACAGCTGTGGAGTCTTTCTTCAAAAAACACAAATAAACTCAAAAGTCGCATACATTTCGGGGCCTTTGGACCCCTTCCCTGTGTCCGGTTAGGAGGGAGCATCTCTGCACCACCTCCTGGGGTCCCTTTTCACTGGGCTCCCTGGGGCAGCGGGGTGGCCCCTGGGTGACAAGGGAGGTGAACCAACCTCCCCACCTCTAACGCCACATCCATCGGAGAGTGCTGTAGGGCTGGCTGCAGTGTGTGCCAACAGCCCTCCTCAGAGGCTGTCCGCCCTCTCAGTGGAGTCCTGTGTCCCTGCACCAGGCCTCGCTGAGGGAACCTGGCAAAGGTGCTGGTCAGTGAGGCAAGAGCCCAGTTCTGCTGTCTGGTTCCCACAGAAACTCTTGCTCTTTCCGGGCGGCCGGCTCCCGGCAGAGCGGGGTCCTGCCAGGGTGTGCAGCACAGCTGTCCACTCGGGCTTCCCTACTGTACTTTCTGATCTATCCCGCAGAGGTCCCCTAAACTGGTATCGAAACATAGAGAGGAACTGGCAGTGGGGCTGCACCGGCCTGGGACGCAAGGTGAGTGCCACATTCCATGCTGTTGCCCGGGAGCCACTCTCTGGCCTCCCACTGGCCCCACCTGACCTGATCCCAGGTCAGAGCTGGGGTGCACAGAGCAGCTGGCCTTCCTCCTTCCCCTCTGGGGTTTGGGTGTGACTCCACCCCACGGTTTCCTCTTTCTTGCTGGTGCATCCCTTGGAGGGTGGCACTGGGGACAGAGCAGGGCTATGTCCTCATAACTGCAGCATCCATACAGAATGCCCAGGTCTCCTGGATGTACTCAGGGTCCAGGGTAACACCCGGAGGTGACAGGACAATCCAGCCCCATCCCCAGAGGAGCATTACAAACTCTGAGAGAGACGTGGCTTTAGCCTCTGGTGTGACTTTGAATGAGTTGATCTCTGGGTCTCGGTTTCCTCATTTGTCAAGCAGAAGATGGGTTTCTGATCTTTGGGTTTGCCAAGGGGATAGTGGAGGTTCTGGTTTGCATTAAAAATAGTAAAAAACCTAAGGGAAATCACATTTTTCCCAAAGGAATCATGCAGGGAGCCAGGCCTTGACATCAGCTCACCCAGTAGCCCTGGTTATGTCAGAGGGTCACCCAGTGTTCAGGCCAGGCAGCATGGAGACCTAGGGGATGCCACAGCAAATAAAACTGATCAGCTCCTGACCTCCCGTGGTCAGGTCTTGAGGTATAAAGCACATGACGTGGTAGTTAAGGGTAGGCCAGGTAGGGAGTCAGCCTGGTCTAATTCCTGTGTGACATTGAGTAAGGCACTTAACCACTCTGATCCTCCCTTGCCTCTTCTGCAATATGGAGATGACAAGAATAGTGCCCGCATGGCAGAGCTATAAGGATGAAATGGGTTAATGCATGTAAGGTGTTAAGAAGCACCTGGCACATGGTAGTTCAATTAATGTTCTTGGCCAGTATCATTGCTGTAATGGGACTGCAGAAAATTAGCAGACCACAGTGGGATACACAGAGCATGGCGGGGGGGGGAGGGGATGGCGGCAAAGACCTGGGGAAGGTGAACCCCGATGGCATTAAGGTCGGGCAGCCGCTTCTTCTGTGGTTACTGGCTCAACCATCCTCCCTCCTTGCCTGCCTCCTCCCGTGATCCCACCACTGGTTTACATTTTAGTTCAGAACATTCCAGACTTTTCAAAACCTCACAACAGCCTCAGGATTAGCTCCAGCAACAGAATCACGTCTGGTCTTCCCGTGGGTCCACACGAGATGCACATTACTCTGCGTGAAAGTGAAAAATAGTGCAAGGGCCTTGGCCAGGCTCAGGTTGAAGCTGCATGAAGTTCCGATAAAGGCAGGGTGAGAACAGAGCGGGCCAGCGAGGCTTCCGGGGCCTCCCTGCATCCCAGTGTGCTCACCTCATTTGCCAGTAGATAAAAGGGAAGGTGTTCATGTCCCGTTGGTAACCATGGCGGTTGTCCCACTCACTCACTAGAGCCTTGACTGCCCTTTCAAATGTCATTTAATACAGAAAAAAGGAATTTGACCTTCACTGAAGGGCATCTTTCCTACCCTTCTGTGCCATGAATTTGGTGTCACGAACATCAGTCACACACAGCAAGCCAGCATGCGTTCTTACCTGTGTGTACGCACACAAAGCCCATGTGTCACCACGTCACCGAACCTGTCATTTTAAAAATCTCCAGGAATAACGAGGACTCCTTCTTGCAAAGTGCAGCAGACACAAAGCCAGGATCACAAGGGTGCAGTGGGCAGGGGTCTCCCTGGAGGAGCCGGAGGGAGGGGGACCTCCCTCATGGAAGGGACCCGGCTGCTCCATTTTCTGTTCTCCCTCCCCAGATCCTGATCCCAGCCTTGATGGTGACAGCAGAGAAGGACTTTGTGCTCCGTCCTCAGATGACCAAGCACATGGAGGACTGGGTGAGGGCCTGGGCCTGCACAGGGGGGTCTTGATGCATCCTGGCCAGAAGGGAGATAGTGGTGGGGACTTGTCCTATCATGCCAAAGGGGACAGTGGATTGGGGCACTTCCCTGACAAGGGGCTTCCTTGGTGACATGACTATCACCTCCTGCAGGTGGCATCCCCGACTGACGCTTCCTTTCCCCTGAGCTGATGTGGTCACCCCTCTCTCCTCCTTCCTTTCTCTGCCATGGGGAGAGGAGAGGAAGGGGTTCCCTCTTGGGACCGCTGTGGCTCATTGTCTAATCTGACACAGACCCATTTGCATTCTCCCGTTAACCCTGGGGGGGGCGGGTTGTCTTTCAGATCCCCCACCTAAAAAGGGGACACATCAAGGACTGTGGGCACTGGACACAGATGGAGAAGTAAGGAGATCGGGGGTCCCTGGGAGGCGGAGAACACTTCTGTTCACCTGCCACCAAGCCTTCCTCGACTGATTTTGCTGGCCACAGCCTGGCTTAGCTGTTAGCATCAAACCTTCACCTTAGCATGGGGGGTGGAGGGCAAGACCCATGTGAACAGCCCTTTTCCCCGCTCCCAGGCCGGCTGAATTGAATCAGATCCTCATTGACTGGCTGGAGACGGATGCTCGGAACCCACCAGTGGTCTCGAAGATTTAGCGATGGCATGTGCCCTCCCCAGGCAGGTGCCGCTCCTCCTTCCGTCTGCTGGGGCTCCATTCCTCATGTCCAGAGGTGGCCCTACACACTTCTCTTCTGACCAGCAGCACTGTTCTGGGAAGAAATATGGAAACGACTGATTTTCTTTAAATGATAATGAATCAAATTTGATTTAATTTTAGATCCAGGAGAAATCGGGTGTTATGAATCCTTCCGGTATAAATATGTTCTCTCTTTATCTCTAAAAACTATCAGTATCCTGTGGGGGACAGACTGGGGCAGCCGGCTGGTGATTTGTCCTTGAGTGAAAATCCATAGTTTTGCAGCAAAATCAGCAGTTGATGTGGCAGCATCTCAGTCGAGATGAAGACGCTTTATTCAATAAAGCTAAGACAATGGTGCCGTTGTGGTTTGTGTTCTTGGGAAGGTAGAGTCATCACTGAGAGAATGATGCTTGCCCTCTGCTCTTGAGCTCTGCTCTGATCTCCCAGGCTCTGGGTGATCTAGACCAGAGCTGTTGGAGCCTTCCCAGGAGATGGCAGGGTCTGTTGTGCTATTTCATGAAGTAGCCACTAGCCACAGGGGGCCGCGTGCCCCTTCTTCAGGCTTCCCTGGCTTCCCTAGAGGGTTTACTCAGGATTTTAATCAACTCAACTTTAATAGCCAACAGGCGCCTTGAGACTCACTGCAGACCTCTCTTCTTCCCTGCAGTCCAGTTAGGCACGCAGCTCCCCATGTGGCCTCGGTGCTCCTCTCGTGGGTCTGCCCTGTCCCACAACAGCAGCCTCCTTGCAGGGCTCCCCTCCCACAGGGCTGGATCCTGAACCGTGCAGGGCCTCCCACTGTCGCCAGGGAAAAGCCTGGAGCCTGCAGGGTCCCCTGCTCTCCCCAGCCAGGTCCCAGCACTCACTCTTCATCATAACTGCCCTCCAGGACAGCAACCCTGCTCTCCCTTGGTCCTCCACCAAGCTAACGGCTTACACATCCTTTTGCCTCAGAATGCTTCCACCTGCCACTTCCAGCACCAAGTTCCCAGGCTGGGTCCTGCCCCCGTCTCCCTGCCCCCCAGTGGGGCAGTGTGCACCATGACCTGCTGCCCCTGCTGCAGGGGAAGCCTGTGGAGGAGCTGCCCTCAGCAAGGCGAGTTCCCAAGGACAATGAGCACAAGTTGGCCAGGACACAAGGACATGTGTGTTCATCCGTGGGCAGACTACCGGGGGTGGTCTTCCTCAGGCCACCCCTGTGTGCTTAGAGTCACCAGCACCACCTCTGACCATCCATAGGGTCTTTCCCATTTTAACAGATGGGGAGGCCGAGTGCAGGGGCTCACACCTGTAATCCTAACACTCTGGGAGGCCAAGGCGGGTAGATTGCCTGAGCTCATAGGTTCAAGACCAGCCTGAGCCAGAGCAAGACCTCATCTCTAAAAATAGCCAGGCATTGTGGCCAGTGACTGTAGTCCCAGCTAGTTGGGAGGCTGAGGTAAGAGAATCGGTTTAGCCATAAAGTTTGAGGTTGTGTGAGCTGTGATACCACAGCACTACTGGGATGACAAAGACTGTCTCAAAAAAAAAAAAAAAACAGGGAAACTAAAGTTCAGATAATTTTCCCAGGGTTTCTTAAGTAATTGGTGACAGAGGCTGGCTCCCAAGGCTGGGATCTTTCTTCCCCAAATTTTCTCCTTTGTTTTTGTTTTGTTTTGTTTTGTTTAGAGACAGAGTCTCACTCTTGATAGAGTGCCATGGCATCACAGCTTACAGCAACCTCCAACTCCTGGGCTCAGGTGATTCTCCTGTCTCTGCCTCCCGAGCAGCTGGAACTACAGACGCCCACCACAGTGCCCAGCTGGGGTTTTTTGTTGTTGCAGTTAGGCCAGGGCCAGGTTTGAACCTGCCACCCTCAGAATATGGGGCCAGAACCCTATCCACTGAGCCGCAGGGGCCGCCCAATTTTTTTCTTTCTAAATCTGAAGCCAGACAACCTAGATTGGGTAGCTGGTCTGCACTTACCTCCTTGTGTGACCTGGAGAAAAGGTTTCTGTGCCCGTGTTCCATGACTTATGGAAAGGGCAGATTAGCAGGACCTAACGGGAGTTGGTTGTAGTCAGTGTGTAACACGTACTGAGCCCTACAGCAGGCCTGGCGCGGAAGCACACTGCAGAAGGCCAGCGTCCAGCACTCTGCTTTATCCTAGACAAGCCCACTAAGGCTTCCAGTCACCAGACACATCAGCACTGCCTCCATACCTCTGCAGCTGAGAATTCAGGGGCTCAGCTAAAAGGCAGGCCTGTGACCCAGGAGACTGGCTACATAGTCCAGATAACACTGGGTATGACCAAGCTCGCTTGTGAGGGAGCGGCTGGGGGAAAGGAGAAATCAGAGAATGTCCTTCCCTGGAAAAACAAACAGGTCCGTCTTCCCTGACAGGCTCAGTTTTAAATATTCTACCCAGTGATTACCATAAACCATCCAAAGGTTCTCTAAAATTCAACTCTATTGGCAAATAAGAGTCAAATAATGCAAGTCTCTGACACTATAGCAAAAATATAACCGGTTATACGAGACTGACTGATGACTGAACGGTGCTTCCCTGCCTGACCGGAGAGCTTCAGGTCACACAGCCACTGCTGCAGCCACAGCGACAGAGATAGTTAGCTGGCTCCAGCAGGGAAGATTCTCAGATACTGTTTTAAGTACAACTCATTTGTACTGTGTTCCAAATGATTCAATTATAGAATGTATTATTTTAAGTTAATTTTTTTTTTCAGACAGAATTTCACTTCATCACCCTCTGTAGCATAGCTCACAACAACATCAAACTCCTGGGCTCAAGTGATCCTCTTGTCTCAGCCTCCCTAGTAGCTGGGACTACAGGCGCCTGCCCCAATGCCGGGCTATTTTTAGAGTTGAGGATCTCACTCTGGCTCAGGCTGATCTCAAACTCATGAGCTCAAGCGATCCACCAGCCTTGGCCTCCCAGAGAGCTAGGATTACAGGCATGAGCCACCACCCTGCCCAGTCTATTTTAACTTAATTTTTTACTCAACAAATTGCACACAGTCATGGAGTATATGGTGATGTTTTGATGGGTATTACATATAGTGATCAGATTAGGATAATTAGTGTCTCATCGCAAATATTTGTCTTTTTTGTTTGTTTGTTTGGGGAACATTCCATACCCTTCTAGCTATTTGAAAACGTATGATTGTTAACTGCAATCATCCTCCAGTGTCCAAAGCTAGGACTTACTCCACCACTGAGCGGGAACTTTGTATCTTTAAACAAACCTCTCCCTAAGCCACTCTTCCAGCCTCTAGTATCCTCTGTGTTACTTTTTACTTCTCTGAGATGAAACTTTTTTTATCTTCCTGGTAATAACATGTTTCACTTTCTATGCCTTGTTTATTTCACTTACATTGTATCCTCTGGCTTCATCCCTGTTGCCTCAAATGACTGGATTTCTTTTTTTTATGGCTGAATAGTAAAAATGTTATTTTTATTTGATGACTACAAAGGTTATAAATTAAAAGTATATTCACCTTTGCTAAAAAGGAATCAGCTTTTTTTTTTTTTTTTTTTTTTTTGGCCAAGGCTGAGTTTAAACCCACCACCCCTGGTATATGGGACCTGGTGCCCTACTGCTTGAGCCACAGGCACCGCCCAAGAAATCAGCTTTTTAAAAAAGAGACAGAGCAGTCCGTGTATTCTCTCATACACCCAGAGAGAGCTGAGGTCACTTATTCTGTCAAAGGAAGGCAACTTAGTGGCTGTCATTTAGAAGTATCTAAGGTTTCCAGAAGAAATGTCTTCTAAGGGTCTATTGGCCTAGAAGAGACAAAAGCTATTTCTGTCTTTCACGGAGTATAATGAATCTGTGGCTTTGGATTCTAAGCCGGGTTCCATATTGTTCATGCCAACACTGCCATCAATGCAAATTAAAAGCAAACAATGGTTAAAATATCTAGGTCAGAAACGTAAAGGTTTTTTTCGCCCCCAACAGGAATTGGGTGAAAAACATTGTGCCTCCCTGTTCAAAGGAGCCTGTCTGGACACACATGATAAAATACTTTCTTGCTTTAGTAATTGTTAGAGTTTTTCTGAGTGTTGAATACTACACTAGTTGTTTCTCTCGTCTCCCTGTTAGTCTGTGAGGCCCTTGGGATCAAAGGCTGCTTGTCTAGGTGATTCACCCTTGAACCCAAGCCAAGCCAGTGTTTGCAAATGTTTGCTAACTAATCAGGGAACGTGTGCTTGCATGCATGAATGGGTACTTGCATCAGTTTTAAATTCTTTTTTTTTTTTTTTTCTTTTTTGGCTGGGGCTGGGTTTGAAACTGCCACCTCTGGCATATGGGACCGGCACCCTACTCCTTTGAGCCATGAGGCGCTGCCCCCCAGTTTTAAATTCTTGATTTTGATGTCATGCTGGCGGATAAGAACAATCAATAGGATGGCTGTTTTCACTGTTTCCAAGCATTGGTGGATCTTTTTATAGGACTGCTGGTAGCTCGGTTGATAGGACCAGATTCAGAGAGAGAAGATGTGTAGATTCCAGACATGGAGGAGTCTTCTTAAGGGATCACGGGTAAACTACAGCAGGACATCGTGGGTCTCTGCTGCATTGAACACAAATTGCAACAGTTATGTTAACAATACAGCTGAAGCATTTACAGTTGGGACCTGGGGATGTTCCAAGTTTTCATATTTATAAGATAGGAGTAGAATCATTTTGTCAGTTTCCTAAATACATTTTGTCAGTTTCCTAAATACATTTTGTCATATTCAGATACAAAAGTTTTGAGGCCGGTACCTGCTTTTCAAAGAATACTAGTAATGTTTCTACTGTCACTCTTTGCTGTGTAGTAAAATACACATAACAGAAAATTTACCAGTAAAAGAAAAGTGTGACAAATTCATTTAATCAAAGTTTTACATGACAGAGGAGCCTTCAGAAATGAAGACCCCAAACACCCAGAGAACACTATTTTTTTTTTTTTTTGGTCTCATTTAGTTGCTCTGGGTAGAGTGCCATGACATCACAGCTCACAGCAACCTCCAACTCTTGGGTTTAAGCAATGCTCTTGCCTCAGCCTCTCAACCAGCTGGAAGAAAAGGCGCCCACCACCACGCCTGGCTAGTTTTTCTATTTTTAATAGAGACCAGGGTCTCCTTTTGCTTACGCTGTGAGTAAACTTGGTCTCAAATTCCTGAGCCCAAGCAATCCACCCGCCTTGGCCTCCCAGAGTACTAGGATTACAGGCATGAGCCACCGCACCCAGCCACAGGCCTCTATTTCTGTCGTTACCTTCAGTGAAGAATGGACATCCTTGTAGAAATTTGATGGGTAAAAGGGCATGATCCAGTGGTGATAGATGGAGGGAGAAAGCCAAGCTGCCTGTCTGCTCAGTCTTCTTGGGCCTCCTATATAGCAGTCTGTCCTCCCAGGTGCTGGGCAGGACCCTCTGAATGAAGATCTTCGAAGAAGAAGAGAAAAAGAAGGAAGGGACCTTTCTAGATTTTATGCCTTGCTTTTGGAGAAGAGTTCTAGCTTCTGTGACCACCTGGAGGGAAGAGAAATTCTGGTTTCTGTGACTCCCTTCAGGAAAGTGGTGGGGACAGGTGGGCAGGAGAAGATCACAGAGACCTCGCTCTAAGGCCCTTCCAGTGTGACTGTCTTTCCAGGGTGACTATTTGGGCTTGTGTCACAGTTCCAAAGACAAAAACAATTCTTTATTTATGCAAATAAAAGTAAGAGAATTCCTAAGAAAGCCTCAAACAGTGGTATTCATTTTAAGGGATGGATAGTTGTCAGGTGTCTCATCAATTGTCCTGGATTAAGGTAGAACAAACTCATGGAAGTTTTAGGCAGTTGCGTCCTACTCGGTCTTAGGACAATTGAAGAAACTTTCTGTCCTACCTCATATTTTAAACAGTGCTGATTAAGTGGGGCCAGGAAATCTATCCGCAGCCCAGAAACCATTCAACAAACTTCACAGTACACACAGTAAGAAAGTGGGTGTTTCAAAGAAAGGTGTTATCAGTTACAAATGATGTATTAAGAAGCTCATTGTCATTGATTAACAAGTCTGGGAGGGGAAAGATCTGCAAAGAAGCTCTTCAGTGTTAACAGGTAACCTTTATTTCCCTTGCCAAGGAATGTTTGCAAAAGTTAAGACTCAGCCATTATTGAACAAGATGAATCCTTCAGGAAAGAAGAAGTAAATAATAAACCCTTGACCTCGCCCATGGAGGGATGGCAACAGAGATTGAATGAATCGATACACACCATTTCTGCTGAGTTTTATATTCTCACGTAATTTGATTTTTTTCAATAAAGGCAGTTTATTTATAAAACCGAAGGGACTGGCTTAGGGTGGAAGGGCTGCATCCCGGGGCTCTGGGAAATCTCAGCAGAGAGTGGGAAGCCCAGCAGAGTCCCACCATGCCCTAGCTGGCCGCTAAGTGTCCTTGAAAAGAAGCCACTCTGGCTGGACCCCAGCTGAAAGGGGAATTTGTGGGAGGGGAGCAGGATATTTGGGGGGGGGTCTCACTTTGTCACCCTGGGCAGAGTGCTATGGCGTCACAGCTCATAGCAACCTCCAACTCTTAGACTCAAGTGATCCTCTTGCGTCAGCCTCCCCACTATCGGCACCCACTACAACGTCCGGCTATTTTTGAGACGGGGTCTTGCTTTTGCTCAGGCGGGTTTCCAACTCCTAAGCTCAGGCAATCCACTCGCCTCGGCCTCCCAGAGTGCTAGGATTACAGGCCTGAGCCCACCACACCTGGCCTGAAGGACATTTTTTTTGTTTGGGAAACAGTTTCAGGAGGAGGTGGGAAGCAAGTTACCTGATGCTAGGTAGTACCAGGCCACCGCTCAGCAGTCCCCTCTCCTCCTTGGCACATGCCTCTCTGTCCCCAGCACTTGACACTGACCCCACCCATCTGCCTGTGTGTGGGCCACAGTCCTGGGGCTTTTTTCAGGGTTTTAGGACAGGGAGCGTGGAGGAGAGACGCAGCCAGCCCGAGAGGAGCTTTCTCTGTGTGTTGGCTCCCAGGCCCCAAGCCCGAGGCTCTGTGGGGCTCTCTTCCCTCCCTCAGGCGCAGCCCCAACTGCACAGCCTAACTCCCTGTCCTCTCCCCCTCTGCCTGACCCCAGCCTCAGGAGCTGTAACAGAGAACCACCGATCAGGGAACTTAAACACAGTTATTTCCTCACAGATCTGGAGGCTGAAAGTCTGAGATCAAAGCGTCTCCTTGGCTTATAGCTGGTGTCTTCTCCCTGTGTCGGCCACCTCCGAATGGGTCCTGTGTCCTCATCTCCTCTTTTTACGAGGACACGCGTCAGAGTGGATTGGGGCCCTGCTCTCTCCCCCTGCTTCTGCTACCAGGGTTCTGTCCTGTTTCTCTAACGGTGGGAGAGACCAAGCCTGCTCAAACCCAGGACTCAGACCTCACGGGCAGAGCCTGTACACACCCTCCTCTGCGCCAGGGCACCCAGGCCAGGGCCCTGTGGCAGTCCCCACATTAGGAGCTCCCCGTCTAGCCCCCCACATCATAGCCTCCCTTGACTTCTGGCATTAAGGACCCAGTTTTGAGGCTGGGGGTGTCTTTGTCTCCAGAATCCCCGGGGCAAGGTCATAGTTCAGGCAGCTTCCAGGTTTTTGAGCAGACACCAGCAGAAACCCTGCCCTCCTAACTTCTGGCTAAGAGAAGCCCTGGGGCAGGAAAGGAGTGACCTGTGTGACCTGCTGTTTGTTAACAGCCCCAGCCCTGAGCCCTGCTGGGGTGGAGCCTGTCCTCAGACGGTTTTGATCTGCTTTTGCAGGCCCCAAAGCCCCTTGGCCTGAGGCAGCTGCGGACAGAGCTAAGCCGGCCCAGCACCAAGGTCCCTGCACCCCTGTGCCTGCTGCCCAGAGAGCCGAAGTTGGCCAAGACCACGGACCACTGGAGCCATGGTAGGGACCAGCTGGTTTGGCCCAGCCAACCTATGTCCAGTCTGGGCCTATAAGCTGGGTGGGAGGCAAAATGGAGCCTCTTAGATTGCACTTGAGACTCCGGGGAGGCCCTGGGGTACTGAGGAGGTGTGGGCCTGGGTTTACCCCAGAACCTTCACAGGGCTGCTGTGTGAGCTTGAGGAAGTTACATTACCTCTCTGAGCCTCCTCCGTTTCTGCTTCTGATAGTGGGAGTAATATTTCCTATTCACGGCATTACTGTAAGGTCTAAAGAAGGGTCAGTGTATGGAGGATGCCAGCACAGTGAGAGCAACACAGTGGGAGTCCAACAGATGGGAGCCTTCTCCCCAGGACCCAAGGCTGTGGGCTAGAGGCTGGGGAGTCTCCCAGAGTGGACAAGCTTGCTGGGAAGGCTGCAGGCTGGGTCCAAGTCCCTCTTGGGCCACCAGGACTGGCTCACACAGCCCTATTCTGGCAACCTGTTCACTGAGCACACCGTCCATCAGGCCACAGCAAGGTGGCTGGAGCCCCAAGTCCCACTCTCTCAGCCTCCACCCCGGTCTCTCTAAAACTCCCTTCCCCTTAGAATGGGCAGAGTTCTCCACACGGTCTGCCCACCTGCCCACGAGAATCATAGCAGGAGGCCTCTGCCAAGCCGCACTTCACCTTCCCCTGGCCCCGGGAGGTGTTTAGGGCAGAGAAGCGCCTGGGCTCAGTCCTGTGACCTCAGCCTCTGTCCCTGCCATGGTGGTGGTGGGGGGCAGTCAGGGGACAGTCAATGGGGTCGTGACAGCCACACATGCTTCTCTGCTCAGACCTGGCATTTTGCCCGGCACAGGTGCATGGGTACAAAGGAGTCAAGTTTGAAAACTGGGCGAGGACCTATGGCTGTTGCCCAGAGATGTACTATCAGCCCACGTCCGTGGAGGAGATCAGAGAGGTGAGTGTCCATCTTGGCACAACACCAGGCCTGGAATAGCCTGGACCTGGGGGCCACAGCCCTGCCCCAGAGAGGAAGCTGGGATGTGGGACTTCTTAGGCTAAGGTCGCACCCCAGCCACAACTGCTGGCCAGGTGGGAGCTCAGTGATGTTGGCTACTCCCAGGACTCCTGCCCTCTCTCTCCCCACTCCAGCTCCATGTGGCAGCCACCTTACAATCCTAGGCCCTCTCCAATCTGCGCAGCTGGAGGCTAACCCCCACCAGGTGTGCATTTCCAGCTCAAGTCTGTCTGAGCTGTAGACTCACCCAGGACTTCTCTCATCTGACTCAAAGCCATTACCAACTCGCATGCCCAAGACCATATTTTGGTTTTGTTTTGCCTGCAGCCTGTTCTGTCTCGATGCTCCCCATTTATAGGGTAACCAGGTGCTTAAACTGAAAGCCAGGAAGTGGGTCATGGGTCCCCCTTTATCCTTGTCTCATGTCACCAGTTCTACTCGAGACCAGTTTGGTTCCAGCACCCATCGTCTTCTCTGCAATACTGTGGCCACAGTGCAGGCCAGGCCACCATCTGCTCCTCGTCCACTGTGACCTGGGAGGGCCTCCGCCCTGCTCTGCCTTCTAGTCTTGCCTCCCTCTAAGTCACTTTCCACAGTGAGCAGAAGTAATTTTTTCTTTTTATGTTAGTGGGCTTTGTTTGCTTTCCTGCTTAAAACCCATCAGAGGCATTCTGGTGTTTGGGGAATAAAACCTGAACTTGACTCCCGAGGTTGCATCACCTGGGCCTGTGTCTCCAGCCTCCCTAAGGTGCCTCCCTCCCTGGCTGGCTTCTGTCTGACCCCAGGGCATGTGGACATGCTGTCCCCTGTGCCTGGAGGGCTCAGCCCTTCACTTGCATCCTTCAGGGCTCAGGGTCACCTTCTCTTCAGAGCAGTTCTGCTTTATCAGAAGTATGTCCCAATTTCTCTATCTCAGCTTCTCCTTCATGGAATGTTTCTAACTGGCAGTTATGTTGTTGGCTTGAACATTTCCTGGCTTTTGGCTCTCTCCCTCCTCAAGTGTGAGCCCACACCCTCTTCTTCTGCCCCGTGTCCTAAGCACCCACAGCACTCTTGGGGCACAGCACACACAGGAAGGTGAATGGATGAATGAATGGGTGAATGAATGAATGAACAGGACTCAACCTTTGTCCTTACAAAGCTTATATTGGCCTTTCACCTGACAGTCAGGCACACAACCAACTCCATAGGATCTAGATGTCGGCAGCTCAGGCAGACAAGGAGGAAGTTCATTCCAAATGTGAGTGTGTGTGAGAGAGCATGTGTGCACAGGCATGTGTGTGCACCAGTGAGTGTGTAAGTGAGGAGGTCAGAGGACAGCAGCTCTAACAGTAACGGTCTCCATGGAGCGATCGTCTAACTGGGCACCACGAGCTTCCTACCTACCCCTCCCCAACTCTCAGAACCCTGTACAAGGGAGTGATTATTATTCCCATGTTAGAGGTGAGCAAACAGAGGCTCAGAGCGGCTTTGTAATTTTCCCATATTAACGAGTGTCAGAGCCAGGATTTGAACTAGGGATTATCTGAGCTCTAAGCCCCCAGCTTCTCCCTGGTCTGTGTGGGCAGGAAGGTGATGATGGACCTGAAAGGAATCAGTTAAGGGTGGCATGTTCATTCATTCATTCATTCATTCATTCATATAAGAATCCGCAGAGGCACCTACTTGTGCCGGCGCTCAGGGGACAGAGCGAGGCCCACTGGAGGCTCTTGGAGGCCAAGATAAGGAGCCTAGATCTTATCACTAGGACATCAGGATACCCTTGAAAGGTCACAGAAGGGGCAAAAAAGGCAACTGGGTTTGTCTTTAGGGAAGCCTCATGCCCATGGAGACAGTGAGCCCTGGAACTCCAGGGAGGTTGCTTATTTCTCTAGTCCAGCTCACTTCCTGGCTCTTCTTCCTGCCTCTTTCCTGGGGTGGCCAGCACGTGGCCAGAGCCAAGCAGGGCCCTGGAAGGCTGCCTCTCCCAGGCCACCCACGGCCCCTGCAGGCCAGGTCCAGCCCTGCACCCTGGCTGCCTCTCGGAGAAAGACCTGACTCAGCTCTGTCCCCACAGGTGTTGGCCCTGGCCAGACAACAGAACAAGCGAGTGAAGGTGGTAGGCGGTGGCCACTCGCCCTCCGACATCGCCTGCACGGACGGCTTTATGATTCACATGGGCAAGATGAACCGGGTCCTCCAGGTAGCACTCAGACTCGGCTCCCCCTTCCTCCCGCTACCTGCCCTGAGTCCTTAAGTGACACCCTAATTCCCCAATTCCTGGTCTGCCCTGAGCACCCCTTACCTGAACCCGCTCTGGGCTTGTTCAGGCCTCTTGTCAGTTCTTCCCAGCCCTGTGAGGCCAAGGAGAGGACGTCTACCTTCCTCTTCTGCCAAGGCCTTCCTTCCACTTCTCAAAAACAGAAGAGGTGAGCCTGACCCAAAATAGACTCACAATGACAAATCCACACGGGCCCAAAGTGGCACTCAGGTAGTTTTACAGATGGAGAAACTAAAGATCAGAGAGGGTGACTGACTTGCTTGGGGCCACACAGCTGATCAGTGGCAGAGCTGGGCACAGATCCAGAACTGCTGTCAGCCCCGTGTGGAATGCCGTCCATGCAGCTCAGCCAGTCCTTGGTGAGTGTCCCCAGGTGCCTGCTCCCAAGTCAGGTGTGCTGCATGCCAGGACTCCTGTGTCATCTGCTGGGATCAGCTCCCTTCAGCCATAACTTTTTTTTTTTGAGACACAGTCTCAAGCTGTCGCCCTGTGTATAGTGCCATGGCATCATAGCTCACAGCAACCTCCAACTCTTGGGCTCAACCCTCAATTTTTCTATTTTTAGTAGAGACAGGATCTTGCTTTTTGTTCAGGCTGGTCTTGAACACGTGAGCTCAAGCAATCCACCCACCTTGGCCTCCCAGGGTGCTAGGATTATAGGTGTAAGCCACCATGACTGGCCTCAGCTGTAATTTTTGCCAGATAATCTCTCCTTCCCCCAGCCCCGCTCGCGAGATTCTGGGATTCTTTCTGCCATTTCCTTATTTGCTCAGGCTGACGGTCTCTACCTCTTAGAAAACGTTCCAGCCTCATCAGTCATGGCAGTAATGAACTCTGATTGCTAATTAGTGGGGACAGGGCTCCAGCAATTGATGTTGCCAAGCTCTGCGCTCTGGGTCAGTGGGATGCACTTGTGCCTTGTAGTCAGACAGATGCTGATTCTCATCTCTGTTGTGCTACCGATGTTCGTGTGACCTTGGGCAAGAGCCATCAGGTCCTGGAACTCAGTCCTTTCACTGTTCTTGCTGTCCGGGGCTGCCATGGAGATCTCACAACACAGCACCCTCACCTGTGTGGCAGGCGCCAAACACACATTGCATCTCTTCTCCTCCCTCCCGGCCTTTAGTCCTTGCCTGAGACCTCCTGGGGGGTGGGGAGTAAGTGGAGAATTCGAGCTCCCTCTAGCAAATCAAGACCCTATGAAACAGGGCCCTCTTTTGTTGGTGACTTTGCACAATTACACAAAGCAATCCTGACTTCCCAGTCTGGGCAGTGTGAGGGCACAGGTGGGGCCTCATTTCACCTGTGAACAGAGGAGGTAGGCAGAAAATTCCCAAAGTCCCAGTGTTCTCAGGCTTAAGCTAACCCCAGGCTGAAACAAACCCACATGACCTCCCTGAGCGTGGTGGCAGGCATGGGGACTCTGTGATGGTCTAGCTGCTCCCAGCCTGGCCTGTCTCTTGCAGGTGGACAAGGAGAAGCAGCAGGTGACGGTGGAGGCTGGCATCCTCCTGGCTGACCTGCACCCACAGCTGGACCAGCATGGCCTGGCCCTGTCCAAGTAAGAGCCTCTCCCCAACTCCCCGGGGCATCTGCCACCCCCTGCCCTGGACTGGCTGGACACTCAAGCATCTGGCAGCACCAGAAAGGAGCACATCCCAGGCACACCCCTTTCTCTGGGCTCCCGCTCTTCCTCCTCAGTGTGCTTGTCTCTTCCACTGTGGATTCAGGGGCGCTGTGTGGGAATAGAAAGGAGCTGAGTGTTAAATCACAGTCTTGAACAGGGGGCGAGACAACCAGAGCTTAAGTCTTTCTGAAAACTCAGCAATGAACAACGCTGAGGATCCAAACTCAGGCAGAGGCAAAACAAGCCCCCAGAAGGACAGAAGAGCAGGACACCTGAGCCACAGGCTTCCTGCCTTGCCTGTCTATGCTGCACTGGTCCCTGTGTCCAACCTGGTGTCAATGATTGCTCTGGTTGAGGCATCGTGATTCCTTTATACTCTGGAAACCACCTGTTCCAGCCTCTCTTAGGGTCACGGCTGAGCTAAGTCATGGAAATTGGGGACTAAGAGCCAGGTAGGAGAGGGCCTCACCCCTCACTCGCATGTGCCTGTCTCTTGGGAAGCCTAACTGGTCCCTGTGTCTCTCTTATTTCCCCCTGCCGAGCACAGCCTGGGTGCGGTGTCAGATGTGACCGCAGGTGGCGTCATTGGGTCTGGAACACACAACACGGGGATCAAGCACGGCATCCTGTCCACCCAGGTGAGTCACCTACTTCCCCATCGCTGGCCCAGATCTGTGGGGCCTCAAAGCAGCCCAGGCCTCCCCTTTGGCAGGAACTTGACAGGTGTCTCCAAGGTACATCACTGCCCTCTCTAAGCCACTTCCAGCTCCACATGCGAGCTGGTGTCCTCCCACCTGCACTTCTCAGGCCTCCCAGCCACAGGCGGAAGGGGTACCATAGCCACTGAGAGGTCAGAGCCGAGCTGGGGGCCAGGCTATCCAGGTTAACACATGAAGGGAGGGGCCACAGCAGGCTCCAGCTCGTGGGCCTGGAGTCCCCACTGGGCCTTTGTGGAAAAACATTTCTTACACCTCACAAGATTCCAGTCTGGAGAACTAGCTGAGAGCACAGGTTTGTGACCAGACCTGGGTTCAAAACCTGGCCCTATGTTTAGGTAGGAGCCCAATTCCTCTGGACAGTTCTGTAAAAAGCCATCATCTAAAATGGGGAGAATAATCCTCAACTCACTACCTGAGCCAGCATATGAGTGTGTTAAGTGTGTGGTCAACAAATGGCAGCTCGAGGATGTCTGCGTCCAGAGCCACCCTTTGGAGGGCAAACACTTCACACTTTCAATTTTAAGAGGTGCTACCTCTGGAGCAGACTGCTGGGACAGACACACAGAGACCCCCGTGCCAGCACTGCTATCCACAGCCGTGATGCCATCTCTCTCCCCTGCACCAGCTGACTCACACTAGGGACCATGTGCCCTCGGCCTGTGGAACAGGGACTTGGATTTCAAATCTCAGCTCCACCATTATTGTCTGTGTGATCTGGAACAAGTCTCTACCTCTGCCTGCCTCCGTTTGCTCACCTGAAAACAGAGTTGCTCATAACAGCAAAGCAGGGGGCGGGGGGGAGGCTTAGAGGAGTGCACACAGTTAGTGCTCAATACATGCTTATGATAGGTTTTGCTTATAGACGAGGCCTTTTCCAGAGCCCACACTTTGCTCTCAGCATTGCCAGGGACTGGGCTACATGGGTCCCCTAAGTTTCCCCTGGACTCACTGTTCACGTGATGGCTCTGCCTTCTGCCCAGGCTCTGATAAGGACAGGTGGCCATGTGAGCATTGCTCACAGGTGAATTCTGGGTGCTGGGTGCTGTGTGGTCCAAGCTCAGAGCAGCACTGACTTCAAAAGGAAACACCCCAAAAGAAGGGGTGTACTTTCGTTTTTTATTTGTGTTACTTGAACTCAGCAAAGGTAAACCTAATTCTCTGTGACCGCTCCTTAGAATCACTCTGCTTTGTCATCAGCCTTGTGTGGATCCTCCCATCACTCCTTGTCCCCCTCCTCCCTCTTCCACCACAAAAACCTCCAACAATTGCCAGGCAAGAGGGGACATCCCAAGGGGAAGGACCCAGGAAGTGGCACCAATGCTACTTACGTCAATCAGTCGTGAGCCCTCCCACAGAAAGAAGCTTTGCAGCACAGCGCAGAGAGACCTGTGGGTCCTGATTGCCGGGGGCCCACGCTGAACACTGTCATTTCCTCCTTAAAATGACAGTTCACGTGACCCGAGACCGCCCAGTGGTAATGGTGGGAAAGAGCATGACAGCCACCCCTCTTCCCAAGATCAGGCTCCACTCCTAGCTCACTGTCCAGGACTGATGTCACATCAGTTGCCCCAGTTTCTACAAAATGATCAGCGGAAGATGGAAGTCATTCTAAGTGGCCACAATCAAGCACACTAGAGACTCACCCTGGCTGCTTCTCTTAGGAAGCCCAGCTGAGCAAGCGTGGAAGCCCGGGCGGCCGGGGGAGACAGTGCTGCATTTCACACCTGGTGTCAGCGGCAGGACAAAGGGGAAGGATTTTTGGTGTCCACTATCCCTGGGCAGTTAGCTGCACACTTGATGTAGCCTCTTGTCGGATCCTCACCACAACCCCCCGAGACAGTTACTGTTATTATCCCCACTTTACACACAAGGGAACAGATGTTGAACCACATGCCCCGGGCCATACCCAGTCAGCAGACAGAGTGCCACGCTTTATTGAGTCCTGGGTCCCGCTGAAGTGACACATTGGCCAGCTCTCAGCCACTGCCCTGGCTCTTGGACAAAATCTAGTTTTTGTGAAAATCATTCTGACGCCCTCACCCCGCAGATGGCCACCGTGCCCCATTTCTGCCAATTCCTCCTCTCTGGTCTGTGCTCACTGTTAATCAGAATTAGTTCAGCTTTATCTGTTCCCTCACCCTGAGCACCCAGCTGCCAACTACACATGTCAAAAGCAATTCCCATCCACATTAGTCAGTGGTGGACCGTGAGAAGTACTTAAGCCACAAGGAAAGAGATCGCTGCTGGAGGCAGGGCCAAGGACAAAGACTCAGGGGTCAGGTGTCAGCTTCCCTGTGAGTGAGAGTCCCAGTCTGTGCAGAAACCCTAGGGTTGGGGGTGGCTGAGAAGGAGGATCTAGTTCTTCAAACAGGTCCCCAGATATGGGAGAGGACATTTTGGCTGCTTCCACCAGGAGGAGTGGCAGACAGAGAGGAGCACGGAAGATGCTGGGTCCAGGCTGTTTGGGAACAGGGGGACTAGCTCGCCCCCAGCTGCTCACACACCCTCACTCTGCCTGCCCAGCACCTTCACCCAGGAGCTCACAGCTCCGTGAAGCCTCCTCTCCCCTCAGAGCCCCCTGGCAGAGGAAGGCTCTCTGCATCCTGCCTTTTGAGGCCCACAGGAGGAGAGAGGCTGCAGTTCCAAGAGGACGAGCCATCAGGGCCCATGCAACCTCATGCAGATGGAGCCAGATAGAGCCTCCCTCCCCACCTCCCCTTTCTCCCTTGAGATAGACCTCAGGTTGTGACAGTAGCATGGCTGGGAAGTTCCCCTTGGTCAGGTAACAGGGAACAGTGACACCTGGCCTCTGTCCCAAGAACAAACAGGGAAGTGAGGGCAGTGGTCTCAGGGGTTCTGAAGTGTGGCTCTTCTCTCACTGGCAGGTGGTAGCCCTGACCCTGATGACAGCCAGTGGGACCATCCTGGAGTGCTCCGAGTCTAGCAATGCAGAGGTGTTCCAGGCCGCGCGGGTGCACCTGGGGTGCCTTGGGGTCATTCTCACCATCACCCTGCAGTGCGTGCCCCAGTTCCACTTGCAGGAGACGTCCTTCCCGTCAACCCTGAACGAGGTACCAGTTCCTGGCTCCCCACCACCCAGCCTCAGAAAATAAAGGGAGGACCTTAGCAAGTGGACCCCACTCCACTGACAGCCCTCCCTGAATGGGGAGGAGCTCAGCTCGCCTCACCACCCCTTCCTTGACCCTGGGGATGCTATGGCTGGTTAGTGAAGCTTGCTGAGAAGGTTAGTGAAGCCCAGAGGATCTTCAGGGGCTGGCAGAGGCATGAGGAGGAAAGAGTGCTGGGTGGAGACTTGCCACAGGAGACGTGGGGCCACCACGAGCTGACCCTGTGGAGGGTGCTAATTCTCAGCTACACTGAGCCAGAGGTTGTGCCTAGGGTACCCTTTATGCTGGTTCTTCACAGCAAGGTGGAAGGAGTCACTCTCAGACTTGCTGAGTACCCAAGGTTACATGTAGGGTATTTGGGTCTGGATGATGAGAGGCAGGAAGGATGGCCTGTAATTGATAGCAGTGCCTTTGAAATGAATGAGAAGTAGTGTTAGATGGATGATGTGTGATGGATGGATGGGTGGATGGATGTATGGGTGGATGGATGGGTGGATGGATGTATGGGTGGATGGGTGGGTGGATGGATGGCTGGTTAGATGCGTGGATGGATGGATGAATGGATAGATGGACAGGTGGGTGAGAGGACGGATGAGTGGATGAGTGAATAATGGATGATGGATGGATAGATAGGTGGATGGATGGATGGATGGATGAGGAGATGGATGGATGGATAGGTGGGTGGGTGGGTGGATGGATGGATGGGAGGAAGGTATGAATCAGGTCTCAAGTGCCTGGAAGGAATTTATGGCCCCAAGTTTCCTGGAGTTTTGGTTCTTCTGTAGTCACAGGTCATTCAATATAAGTAAATCTGCTACATGAATGGAGGTGAAGCGGTACTGACATGACCTGGATAAAACGAAGATCCTGGGCTTTGAAATCAAATGGGCATGGCCTTGAACTCTGACTCGGCCACTCGTAAGCTGTGACCTTGAACCAATCATTTAACCTGTGACCTTGAACCAATCATTTAACCTGACTGAGCCTTAGTTTCCTTATCTACAAAGAGAGTAAACAATAGCTACCTTAAAGTATTGAATCTCAGGATTAAATCAGATAAGGTGCATCAAGTGTGTAGTTCAGTATTAAAATGTGCCCCCCGACTCTTGGCAGGGAGTAAATGGAAACTATTAATATTATCATCCTGGTTGAACATCTGTACTACTGGAATTTCTAGTGCATTAAGCCTTGGGGCAAAGGCTTTAGATTCAGAAGAGCCCCTGCTCAGAGTCATGAGTTTGGTGGAAATCTCTCCTCAGATCTCTCAGTTGGTGACTGAGAAAGTGGTGCCAAGGGCAAGGAATGCTGCCCAAGGCGGGTGGCATTTTCAGCCCCATGATTTATTGCAGAGTGTGTGTGCCCAAGCTGGGTGGCATTTTCAGCCCCATGATTTATTGCTGGGTATGTGTGTGAGCAATGGCTCCAGAGTTCATTTGCTTCCACTCTTTCCACCCAGAGCAGGCTTTAAAGGGCATCTGAGGGGCTGAGAAAGCTTGGGAAAAACAGGGGGAAGAGCTGAGCCGAAGGTGGAAAAACACAACCTGGGCCTCCCTCCACGGGAAGGAAACAAGTCCTCAAGGGAGGGGGCAGGATAGAGGATGCGGGGATTTTAGAAATCATAGTCAATCTTTGGCCCTTTGTGCCACCCAAACCATAACAAGATGGCATGCAGCTGGCTGCTTGCATCACCCCCCACCCCCCAGGCAGGCTTCGTTTGGTGATATGCCAGCTTTGTCGTCCAGAGGCCCACCACTCTGTGCCGTTGACTGGGTAATCCCCAGCCATGGATATAGAGCCCCCACACTGGCTCACAAGCCAGGTGACCCACTCCCAAAAGCTAACTCAACGATGCTACAACTCTAAACATGACGGACAAATCATATTCGAACTGTTCATGTCAATAACATACCAAGGAAGAGGTTCCTTCTGGACCGAGTTCCCTTGGCTGTGTTCCCAGGAAACCCAAGTAAAAGCAAAGAAATCTATGATTCCAGGGACTGTCTTCAGATAGGACAGTTAGTGACCCTGCTGGGAGAGAGTGTAGGTCATATCAGGATGGGCCCTGAGAGGGTCCCACCACTCGGCAACCTCTTGGTGCTCAGTGAGGGGCGACAGGGAGTACTGTGCCTACAGCACTGAGTGGCCATCAGTAGAAGAACCACCCCAGGTTCTGGTCCTGCCTCTCTGCAGTGCTGGAGCTAAGCAAAGGGCCCCACTGCATTTGCTGCTGGGATTCCGGACTTGATTCTGGAACTTACTCCAAAACCAATGTTCTTCCCTAGCCCCACAACTGCCTGTCAGACCCCAAATAGTGCCCGAAGCAGCTGCCTACACCTGCCTGGTGCTTAGTGTGCGCCTGGTACCCAACTTTGTAGGTATTAGTTCACTTAATATTCATAACTGTTCCAACGGGAGAATTGTCATTAGCCTCATTTTACAGCTAAAGAACTGAGGCGTGAAGATGTCAGCCCACTTGCCCAAATTCATACAACTAACTGGCAATTTCTCAAACCAAGACACAAAAGAAGTCACTTCTATCCTCTAAGCCAGGCATCCTCAAACTATGGCCCACGGGCCACATGCAGCCTGCCGAGGACATTTATCCAGCCCACCGGGTGTTTTTGCTGCAGCTGCCTGTCCTGCTTAATAGCTGACTCATCCTGGGGCCCACAGTCCTGCCCTCCAATGGTCTGAGGGACAGCTACCTGGCCCCCTGTTTAAAAAGTTTGAGGACCCCTGCAGCCATTCACCATGTAAGTGGACCATTTTAACGTGCAGTGTTTTAAAAGACTCATTCTGTGCCATTGGCAGTGTCAGGACACTTTTCATTTGATAGGGAGAAACTGAGTCACACCCAGGCCCTGAGTTCCAGTACTCTCCGTCAACTCCCCATGACCAATGCAGATTCTCCCCTTCCCTCCTGCCGAGATCAGGTCCTCAACAACCTGGACAGCCACCTGAGGAAATCCGAGTACTTTCGCTTCCTCTGGTTCCCACACAGCGAGAACGTCAGCGTCATCTACCAGGACCACACCAGCAAGGTACCCTGGGCCTACGCCTGTCCCCACCCCGTGTCCTGGAGCAGGCGCTGCCTGTGATTTACACATTCCCTCCCTATCCACACCCACAGCCTGCAGGCCGCACAGCTGCCCACTCCAGAGTGGCTGACACTTGTGGTCAGGGGGATGGCATGGCAGCAGGTTAGGAGGGAAGTGTCACTGAGTGTGGGGGAGAAGCAGAAAGGCCCAAAGGTGGAAGAAGAAAAGAAGGTGGACAGAGTGAGCCTCCAATGTGTCCGCAGGGAGGATGAGTCAGGGTGTGGCCAAGCGACAGCCTGGATCTGGAGAGGGAAGCGGAGGACAGAAGGGCAGGCAAGATAGGAGAGGGTAGATGAGAATCCTGGACAGCTGGGCCAGACCCCAGAAACCACCCAGCACACCCCACCTCTGGGGATGATAGGTTTTTATTTATTTATTTATTTTCAGTTTTTGGCTGGGCCTGGGTTTGAACCCGCCACCTCCAGCATATGGGGCCAAAGCCCTACTCCTTGAGCCACAGGCGCCGCCCAGGGGCCTATAGTATTATCTCCCATATCCTCAACGAGCAGACTGCTTCCCAGTGGGAGAATCAAACCACCTCTTAGGATGAATGTTGCTGGGACAAGGCAGATGAAGGCCGGGACTCTGCTGTGTGGAGGGGGCCAAAGGGGGGATTGCAAAGGGTGGTCGCTGGATACCTGGCTCACGGACTCTCGAGAGGAGGCACAGGGCACATCTTTGTCTTGTGCAAAATAAATATCTTAAATACATAAGTAAATTTAAAAGCATGAAATGTAAGGGGATGGATGTTGGAACTGGCTCTGCCAGGAAGTGAAGCTTCCAGCTTTCCCAGTGGGTGGGTCACCCTCCCCCCCCCAAAACTGGGATACAGCTCCCTGGCACGGGACAGTCCAGTGCATGGACAGAGGCAGCTCAGCTCTGGCCCCAGACTGATGACCAATTCTGCTTCCCAGCCCCCGTCCTCTTCAGCCAGCTGGTTTTGGGACTACGCGGTTGGATTCTATTTACTGGAGTTCCTGCTTTGGATCAGGTAGGACGCGGTGGTGCCTTTTTCAGGCCTCAGCCACATGCAGTTGAGGACATGGTCCCTGGGGAGAAAGACACTGAACCTCAGTGCATGTACACTGAATCTGTCTCCTGCTCCAGAACTGTGGTTTTGAACTTAGCTGCACATTTGAGCCACCTGGGGAGCTTTTTTATCCGAGGCCAGACCCCATTCTCTGGCCCGCAGGGGACACGATGAGTCTTCCCACCTGGCCTTATCTTGGACCTCCTTTCCACCCTAAGATCTCTGCTTACACCCAGGCCCCATGTCTACCACTGGACAGGTAACTATGAGAGATTAAGAAGGGTTTGAGGGACCTTGCGTGGTGACTGTGTCTAGCCAAGACATAGAATGGCATCTTCTAAGAATTTCATACTTAATGCAAGCAACATATATTTCAGGTATAAAGAATAATATAACAGGCGCCCCTGTACTCATCACTAGCGTAACAAGCAAAACAACAGGAGTATAATTGGTGCCTTGTCCCCTTGGGGGGACCAGCCTGAGCGTCCTATTGTAGTTTGATGAATCCTGAAATAATAATTGTTTTTATTTCAGCTCTGTTAGTGACATTTATTTATGTTGGTACCTGCGGATAGAGTGCTATGGCATCATAACTCACAGCAACGTCAAACTCCTGGTTACAAGCCATCTTCTTGCCTCAGCCTCCTGAGTAGCTGAGACCACAGGCATCCACCACCATGCAGGGCTATCTTTCTATTTTTAGTAAAGACAGGGTCTTGCTCTTGGTCAGGCTGGTCTTAAACTCCTTGAGCTCAAGCAATCCACCCACCTTGTCCTCCCAGAGTGCTAGGATTATGGGCATGAGTCACCACTCGTGGCCTGATTTTTCATTCTTTTTTTTTTTTACTTTTATTTTTTATTTTATTTTTTGCAGTTTTGGCTGGAGCTGGGTTTGAACCCGCCACCCCCAGTGTATGGGGCCGGCACCCTACTCCTTGAGCCACAGGCACTGCCCTGGTTTTTCACTCTTATTTCCTTGGTTACTAAGAAGGTTTCACATCTTTGCTGTTTATTGATACTCAGGTTTCCTCTTCAATAAAATGCCTATTTATGTATTTTGCCCTTTTAAGAATTAGGTTGTTTCAGGTGGTGCTTGTGGCTCAAGGAGTAGGGCACCAGCCCAATATGCTAGAGGTGGCAGGTTCAAGCCCAGCCCCAGCCAAAAACTGCAAAAAAAAAAAAAAAAAAAAAAGAATTGGATTGTTTTTCTCATTCATTATGTTTCATAGGGTTTTATTTACATATATTTTGAGCACGAATCCTCTGTTGATTATATGTATTATGACATCCTCCCCTGTTCGCGTCTTATCTTTAATTTTTATTACATCTTTTGGTGTGCAGCTATATTTAACTTTAATACAGTCAAATGTATCAACTATTCTTTGATCTTTGGAACTTTTTTGTTCCAAAAAACAAAATCTATGAAACTAATCTTAAAAGTAGTCTATATTTTTTTTCTTAAAGTTTTAAATATGCCTTAGCTTTTAAGTCTGCGATTCCTGGAAGTGATGTTTATGCTTATGGTATAAAGTAGCACAACAATTTCAGTTTTTCAAATGATTGGTTTGCCGGTTTCTCTGGGACTGTATATTTAGTGGTTAATTTTCAGGCGAGGGAGCCGCCGTCTAGTACACCAAGTTTCTGTGCAAGTATGTCTGTTTCTGAGCTCCTAAGGTTCCTCCTCCGTCTGTTCTCTCTCCCTACCCCCAGTACCACACCGTCATAATCACTACAGTTGTCACTTGGTGTCTATGGGATAGTGGTTCCAGGGCCCCCCAAAGATACCAAAATCCGAGAATGCTTAAGTCCCTGCTGAAAAATTGCACCATGGACTGCCCCTGTGGCTCAGTGAGTAGGGCACCGGCCCCATATACCAAGGGTGGCAGGTTCAAACCCAGCCCCAGCCAAACTGCAACAAAAAATAGCCAGGCATTTTGGTGGACGCCTATAGTCCCAACTACTTGGGAGGCTGAGGCAGGAGAATCGCCTAAGCCCAGGAGTTGGAGGTTGCTGTGAACTGTGACTCCACAGCACTCTACCAAGGGCAATAAAGTGAGACTCTGTCTCAAAAAAAAAAAAAAAACCCGTCCCCCCATTAAAAAGAAAGAAAAATTGCACCATATTTGCATATAATGTACACACGTCCTCCCATAAGGTTTTTTTTTCTTTTGAGACAGAGTCTCACTTGTCACCCTCGGTAGAGTGCCATGACATCATAGCTCACAGCAACCTTAAATTCTTGGGCTCAAGAGATGCTCTTGCCTCAGCCTCCTGAATAGCTGGGACAACAGGCGTGTGCCACAATGACCAGCTATTTTTAGAGACAGAGTCTCCCTCTCGCTCTTCTTCAAACCTTTAATCCACCTGCCTGGGCCTCTCAGAGTGCTACAGGCATGAGCCACCGTGTTCAGCCGAGGGTGACGAGTGAGAGTCTGTCTTAAATCATCTCCAGATTACTTATGCCTAATAGAACACCCACAAGCTACTTCACTCATGCACTTAATGTAGTCCTTGGCATGTGGCAAATTCAAGTTCTGTTTTTTGGAAGTTTACAGAACTTTTTTTCCTCCTCTGATGTCGGCTCAACTTACAAACATCCATGGCCTCTCAGCTCCGCTCTCTGAGCCGTCATCAGCAGTAAAGGGTTTAAATGCGCCACTGCCTATCCCATCGAGTACTGTACCAGGTGTGTGTGGGGGGGTTTTGTAGCGTTCCTAGAAATTGACACATCACCTTAATTTACAGATGAAGGAACTAAGGCTCAGAGAGGTATTTTCAGAGGGTCGCTGTCACGCAGCTGGGATGGGACCCAGCAGGGCAGTGAGCTGGGTTCTCTCCCACCGGTGGTGGCCGGGGGACTGGCTGGTGCTGGTGGCAGTTCTAGACAGGGCTGAGATCAGTCGGGTTTAGGTCTGAATCTGGGGATCAGGGATGAGTTAGTCCTTTCCTTCAGGGAATCGTCCCCTCCCCAGGGTGGGGGAACTAGAGAGGATGTCAGATGGACCCACCATTTGGACCCACAAAGAGGATGAACTGCCTGGAAGGGGCCAGGAAGTGAAACACGGGATGTGAGAAGCAACCGTGTTGGATCCAAGGCAGGTCAGGGCCCAGGAGCCTCAGGGAGGGAGCCCCGCATGAGGCCATCGCTCCAGCTCCATCTGGGTGATGGATTTGGGGTGAGAGTGGAAAGTGCCCCATTGGCTTTCTCCCTGGGGCCTCAGCATCCATCACAGCGGCACAACAGCTTAATGTGCGTGAGTCTGTGCGCCTGAGCCCAGGGAGCATCGGAATAAATTGGGCTCTAAATCACAGCTGCCACATGCGGCAGCAGCTGGAAGCTCCGAGCGCGCTCCAGGCCTCTGAGCCCAGCTTGTGTGACTCTAGCTTAGGAGCTTCCAGGAGCTGTGTCCTCCTGTCCCTGTCCCTGAGGCTCCAGATGGTCACTGAGCTGTGTCTCTGAGGGTGTGAGAGTGCAAATGTTAAGCCCAGATCTGGTAACTGGTGGTAACTTGGCTACTTCCCCAAGACTGACCGTACCCCCAAGGGCAGGGATCTGTCTGTCCCATTACTCCCCATCCCCAGTGCCCTTAGTGGGTCTGGCATCTAGATGAGGCCTGTTAGGTCCTTGTGGAAGAAACACAGGAGAAAAGGCTCAGGCCCCATCCTGTGGATCAGCAATAGCTAGATGGCAGTGATAGTGGTGTCAGCGCCAAGGGCAACCAGGAGGGATGGGCAGCTTTCTGTCTGGAACGGGTCTCTGAGGGGTGATGGCCAGGTCCATGCTCACTCCTGTAATTTGAACAACTCTGTGCCCTGGAGCCCATGGAAACCTCACCATGGTCAGCGGGCCTCCAGGACATGAGAAGGCATCTGCCTTGAAAGAGATAAGACCTGTGTACTCAGACTTGATTGCCAGGAAACTTGGGACACAGGACTGTGCCCAGGGTGCAGAATCAAGTGGACCTGGACACTGATCCTTGCCCCTTTACTTGCCTGCTGTGTGACTCTGGGTAAACGGCTCAGCCTCTCTGAGCCATGGTTTACCCATGTTTATATAAAGTAGAGCTTGTAACAATGACTGGGTTGTGGGAAGAATTCAATGTCAAGTCCTTATAAAAGGTCTTCAGTACACGCCACATCCCTCCCTTTGCCTTACAGTTCCTCCCACCCTGTACCCACAGATGAATTAGCTGGTTCATTCACGCTTTAACCAGGCTAAAAAAAAAAAAAAAAACACACCAAAGTCAGACGCAGCCATAGTACGGAGTGTCTTTAGTGGGCCCAGAAGAGGCACAAGCTGCATTGGGAGGTGATTACAGCCAGCTCAGCTGAGCAGGGCCCTGGGCTGGCCTCTGGCCCTCTGGCCCCACGGGCAGCTCACTCTCTCAGGGCCCAGAGCGGGCAGGAGCTGAGTCCATGAACAGGATAGCCAGACAAGCCTTCTCCCAGCTGTCCCCACATGGGCCTGTGGGCCTCCCTCTGTCCCCTACCCCATGGAGTTCTTGGCTGCAGATCTGAGGCCGCCTTCCTCGAGGCTGCCTTTATACCCCTCTGTCCACGGCCTGCAGCACCAACCTCTCTGTATGCAGAAGATGACACACGTTTAAGGACACAGCCTTGGTGGCTCACCTCCCTGTGTCCCTGAGCTCTGAGTGCATGTATTACAGTGGGAGGCCTGGGCTTTAAGGCATCAGGGAGGCTCCACTAGAATGAGTGCCTTAGAGACCCCATCCATCAAGTGCAAATATAATGCAGGTCTGACGATGCCCTAGTGCTAAGAATGCCAACTTTTCTCTCGGCTTTCTAACTTACCTATAGTGCCCAGCTAGTCCTTTTATAAATCGAGAACAAAAAGAACGTACATGTGTGTGTATAAATCTTGATTAACTGTGAGTTTCCTAGGACAAAAAGCCAAATGACGGTTCCTTCCTGGCTCAGAAAGCACAGAGCCCTCCCTTTGCAATTCTAGCATCATTTCTAGGGACAAGAATCTGTGACGCGAGACCCTATTCCAGGACACCGGTCCCCTCACAACAATCAAGGCTTCCCAAGTTGTGGAAGGAGGGGGAGTTACCACGGTCTTTATGGAATTTAGTCCAGCAACACCCAGTGCAGTTAAACCTCCACTCACCCTTTGTCCCAACAATCCAGAAAAGCTTTGGGACAAACACAAGCGTTATAGTGCCACATGTGGTGGCAAGGCACTAAACACATCACAAATAGCCATTAATTGGTGAACGTGGAATAAAATGTGGACCGTCCAGAAAGAAGGCCTTAGAGCAACGTGCTGACCCGGAGGCATTTCAAAGCTGTAGAGGAGCGGCCCAGGCTGGCTAAGGCAGAGGATATTGAGAACAAGGCCCTGTTTTGTAAAGAGTTCAGCTCAGTGCCTGGCACACAGCGGGTGCTCCATAAATGCCTAGTATCATAATTATTATGCACCAGCCCGACACCCTCCTCTGCCCCGTCCTGCAGCACCTTCCTGCCGAGCCTCGTGGGCTGGATCAACCGCTTCTTCTTCTGGCTCCTGTTCAGCCACAAGAGGGAACACAGCGACCTCAGCCACAAGATCTTCAGCTACGAGTGTCGCTTCAAGCAGCATGTCCAGGACTGGGCCATCCCCAGGTAGGCTCCGCCCAGGCTGCTGTGCTTTTCCTAGAGCCTTCCCTCCCTGTGGGCGTGGTCCTCACTGTGCCTGCGCAGGCCGAGTGCCAGGCTCTGAATCTCATCCCCTTTCTGTCAGTGCCCCCAGACCACACCTCTCTGCCACCAAATCCCTCCCTCTGCCTGCCCGCCCCATCCACCTCAGGCAGTGCAGTGGCAGTTTGAGATTGGAGGTGGGGCTCCTTGGCCAGCTTGTCTGTCTGAAAGGCCACTCCCTGCTTCCTGTTCCTGAGCCTCCCTAAGTCCCCACCCCCTGTGGCTTTCTAGCTTCTCCCTCACGGTTGCTTTCTCCAGGGAAGGAGGGGTGGTACCCGGGCTCAGGGGACACCTCTGTTACCGTGCTCAGCGCTTGGCCCACTGATCTCTAGGTGGGAATTGCGTAGTAAGACTATTAGAGCCAGGAAGACTTTACTCTGAAGAGTAGGACACCCAGGGACCTGAAACAACCATACCCAGAGGTCTGGGGGCCCCAGGGGCCAAATCAGCAGTAGGGAGATCTCCAGGGACACACCTCCACCTTCTCTCCAGAGGAATGGGCCTCCCGAGGGCTGGGTGCCCCTGTCACGGGCACATCCACACACTAAGGCTGGGCCGGCCCGGCACCATGCGGCTGGAGTCTGTGCGGAGCTGGGGAGGGCTCCTGGCCGTCCCTTCCCACCCTAAGGTCTGGATTCTGTCCTGGGGATGAGTGCAGAGAGAAGACCAAGGAGGCCCTGCTGGAGCTGAAGAGCATGCTGGAAGCCCAGCCCAAGGTGGTGGCCCACTTCCCCGTGGAGGTGCGCTTCGCCCGGGGGGACAACATCCTGCTGAGCCCCTGTTTCCAGCGGGACAGCTGCTACATGAACATCATCATCTACAGGTGACGCACAGAGGGGCACGGGGGGGCGGGGAACCACCCCTGCCATATGAAAGGACCCCCTCCTTCCCCAGTCTGTTGGTGCCAGTTCTAATGTGACCTTCTCTGGGGACTTGCTGATCCTGGCAGCAGGAGGCAGTGTCTCTCTCCTGAGTTCCCACGGCCTTGTCTCTGTAGACTGTTACTACACACACCCTTTCTAGTCTATATTACATCACTGTAACAATAAGCATGAATCCGTAAGGAATGCTAGTGGGAATACCACGGTTCATGACACCGATATGACGGTATGGCAGGGGCAGTCTATCTCTCAGTGGTCCTGACAGCCTGGAATGCCGTGTAGAGAAGGGCTCTGAGGCCAGGTTCAAGTTCAGGAGGAGGAGGAACATACTTGATGCCAGGTGCTGCCTGGATGAATCTTCCATCAGTCCAGACCTCTGGGCACCGTGCTGACACCTACATGGTGGCTGTGCCACCTTTCTCCCAGCTGGTTAGGCAGCGATCTCAGGGTGAGGCTTGTAGACAAGGGTAGTGTAAGAAGTTGGTCTTTCCCAGAATGTCTTGCCTAAGATGTGTCTTCCTTCCACCTCTCCTCCCCCACTCTCATTTGTAACAGCCCTTCCCGACTTTGCAGAAAGAAAGTACCCCTCCCTCTCTTCATCCCACCCTGAATCTTACTGGGGTGTTTCTCCAAACTTCTAGGAGGCCTAAGCGACAATTAAGGACTGCACCATTCCTGAGGTCCAACAAGCCAGATGAGGGAGTTTCTTTTTTCTTTTTTTTTCTGAGACAGAGTCTCAAGCTGTCACCCTCAGTAGAGTGCTGTGGCATCACAGCTCACAGCAACCTCCAACTCTTAGGCTTAAGCAATTCTCTTGCCTCAGCCTCCCAAGTAGCTGGGACTACAGGCACCTGCCACAACACCCAGCTATTTCTTTTTTGTGGTTGTCATTGGTTAGCTGTCCCTGGGCTGGGTTCGAACCCATCAGCCTTGGTGTATGTAGTGGGCACCATACCCACTGAGCTACGGGCACGTCCCAGATGAGAGAATTTCTCTTAACGTGTTTATTTGAATTTTTTCTTTTTTGAGGCAGAGTTTCATTCTGTCACCCTGGGTAGAGTGCCATAGCATCCTTGTAGCTCACAGCAGCTACCGCAAACTCTTGGGCTCAAGTGATCCTCTTGCTTCAGTCTCTGGGGTAGCTGGGACTACAGGCACCAATCACAATGCCTGGCTAGCTTTTCTATTTTTGGTAGAGACTGGGTTTCCATCTTGCTCAGGCTGGTCTTGAACTCCCCAGTTCAGCCTCCCAGAGTGCTAGGATTACAGGCGTGAGCCACCGCCCCGGCCAACATGTTTATTCAAATTTTTAAACAGACTTTTTCTATCAGTTGGTCTGACCTGTGGCTAGCAGTGTGAAGGCTGCTGGAGTCTTGGGTTATGTTACACAGCCGAGTTGCCCACCATCAAATAAAGTGACTCTGGAATCCCCAGGCTTTGTCAGAAAGATATCTAAAGTAGCGTGTATGTTGATACATGTAATTCTCTGAAATTATTTAAACTCACAATAACTTGCAGACACGAGGGGACACACACTTTTTCGGAATCCTTTGAGGATGAGCAATGAGCAAAAGCCCTTTGTGTGGCAAAAGGCACACAAGGGCAAAGCCACACGAGGCCCATGTCCCCCTCCAAGAGAAGGACCCTCTGACTGCTGGGGGGGCAATGCAGGCAGGAACAGGGCTCACCACCTTCTCTGCCCTAACCAGGCCCTATGGCAAGGATGTGCCGCGGCTTGACTACTGGCTGGCCTATGAGAACATTATGAAGAAGGTCGGCGGCAGGCCCCACTGGGCCAAGGTAGGACCTGAGGGCGGCCAGCAGCTGCTATGCATAGCGTCGCCCACCAGAGGGCGCTGCTGCTCTCTGCCCCAAGGCATGCCGGGGACCGGGGAGCTGCAGGTCAGGAGAGACCTAGTCTGGGCCACTTCCCCTGCCTGGACCATTTACCTTGCCCAAGTTCTTGTTATGACAGCTCAGGGATTGTGATGCCTTCAGAGTTTTCAGAGAAATTTCTCTTCTTTCACTCATTCCATTCTCATGGAAGCCCTCTGTGCAGGATAAGGCTGGCATCATGAGCCCATTTAACAGCTGGGAAAGTGAAGGTGACTCAGAGGTGTGGCAAGACTGACTTAGCAATGAGCAGTGGGACTGGGGCCAGAGCCACCTCCACTGTGTCACGCTGCCAGGTGGCAGTGGGCATGGGGAGTGAGGTTTAGCATGCTAGGCCTTCCCTGCTCTCTGAGCAGGCCCTCCTATCTGGGTCTCTGAGAGTGTCACACATGCAGGCTGGTGGACACAGTGGTGCCTGGTTTGCCGCCCTGCTGACCCACCAGCTCTGGGGACCAGGCCCCTGGTGTGTGGTTGCTTCCACAGGCACACAACTGTACCCGGAAGGACTTCGAGAAAATGTATCCTGCCTTCCCAAAGTTCTGTGCCATCCGGGAAAAGCTGGACCCCACTGGGATGTTCTTGAACTCTTATCTGGAGAAGGTGTTCTACTGAGCAGAGCACGAAGCCTGCGCTGCCCACACAGAGGGGAGCAGATCTCCTGTCCTGCGCCATGGTGATGAGCTGAGCTCCGGCAACCCCCCTTCTCTCACATCCTTTGTCCTCACAGTACCCCCAGCTGGAGGTGACCTAGTACTCAAATCCCACTGTAAACAGACCCCCCATCCCAAGCCTGCAATCACCACATTGTGTTTTCCCAGGAGAAGGGGATCTTTAGGTTGTTATTCTGTCCAGAGGGGCAGAGATTTGGTCATTCAGGGGTTCCACCTGGGTGTGAAAGTAAGATTCTCAGGGTCTGAAGCTTCAGGGATTCCTTCTCCAGCCTTTGGAAGGGGCCTGTTGACACAAATTTGGACCCAGAGTTTGTGTACACCAGGTTGTGCTTTCCCTCGTGAATGTCCACCTGCCCTGGGACCACCCCTTCCAGATGGGCCCATCTGCCTGTGTGACTTCCTATAGCCTGACAGCAGAATGTCCATTTCAGGGGTGTCTGGGGAGTGGGACCCTCTGTGGCTTCTTCTTAATAAAGACCAAGAATTAATCCCCTCTCTGTTCTCACCCCTTTACTTCCCAGGTAATTCTCTGGGAACAAGAGACTTCCCTCCCAGGGTAACACAGGTCTTGGACTCACCTAGAAAATGCTTCTCATATTTCTTTTTTCGAGCTTAGTTTCAATTTGCCTCTGACCCGCCACACTTTGTGAACTTCATGGAGCACATTCCTCGATCCTTTACTATACACCAAGGGCTCTAGGAGAATTAATAGAACCTTAAGATAAGTTTCTGCCCTCAAGAAATGTATATTCTAAGGCTGAGAGTGGTGGCTCATGCCTGTAATCCCAGCACTCTGGGAGGCTGAGGTGGGTGGATTGCTCAGGGGTTCAGGCTCCAGTAGCTGAGACTACAGGTGCACGCCACCACACCCGCTTATTTTTGTATTTTTTGTAGAGACAGGGCTTGATACTCTGCTCCCATTTTTTGATTCAGCCTTTTGATGAATACAGTTGAGTCTTCCTCTGATTGGGGATCTTGTGATACCTGAGGGTTATCTTTCCTGAACATTCTTATTGCAGAGATCTTTTGGTATCTAGAGTGCACTGAGCTCATTGGCTGGATTAGACGGGGCATTGCTGGCAAGATTCACATTTTCTCCCCTTTCTGTGGCCCCTGGCTGGGGCTTTTCTCCCAGAGCTGGTGCCCCTGCCCCACTCTGCCTTCCCTAAGCCTAAGGTGTCCTGAGCCTGTGCTGCCCCCTTGTGGCAGTTTATGAAATTTGGGGAACGTGGCCGTGCTGAGCGCTCCCCCTGGCCTTCTAACTGCACAGTCACTGCCAGCAGCTCCAAAGAATTTGTAGTGGCGTGGAAGGATTAAGAACAGCTCCTACCTGGCCAGTAGGAAACTGAATCACAGCATAGCATCTGACCTGTGAGGCCCTGAGCAGCTCTCGGAGTTGAATTTAGGGTGAGAGGTCACCAGGACATACGCTTCTCACCAGGTAGAGTGACTGGATTGTGGGCAGCGGCTCCCCCAGGGTGACCACCTCACCCTACATTTCCTATGTGCAGATCACAGAAAGAGAGGGGTCCTGGGGAGCTTGGAGGCCCCAGCCTGGCCACCGCTCAGACGGCCTCCCCAAATATTGGCACTGAAGATGACGGTCCCTCACGTCATTAGCAGGGGTCTCTGTATGGGGATGGCCCCAAATTTGCAGAGTTAACCTGGCCACCTGCATGGGCGGGATCTGGGGGGTAGACAGGCTTTGTAACCTAAGGTAGGTGAACAATGTCATAATCTGGGATTATGGCTGAGGGGATGAGGGTCGGAGAGCGTGTGAGAATAGCTCAGGCAAATGGTTCATTATGAACCTTGTCCTGGGTCCCCTTTGTCTGGCCTTCCCTGCTATCACATTGGCTGAACTGGTAATCATTGGTTCTATTAATAAACCCTAAAGATCCAAGTCCATCTTGTGTTGTTTCTAGAACACTTTATACTTCCTGGATTTGCCAAGGTAACTCTCTTACAGCTAGGAAATGCCGTAATGCTAGGTTGAGGTGGGGCACTGAGGTGGGAAGCTCTGGGTAGCTAAAAGGTGACAGTGAGGCCCTGTGACCTCCAGCTCTGGCATTTACTGGCTGCATGATCCCCATTAGTCCTGTGCCTCACAGCCGGTGCCCTCACCCAGGCGCACCTCACGCTCAGATGTGGATAACGGCTGCAGGAACCAGCTGATTGTAGAGTCTCAATGGCACAAACATGGAGCCATTTTATTTATTATAACCAGTTTCCTCAGTGGCAATGTCTCAAATACATCCTTCTCCTTCCTGAGAGCTCCATGGTTAATAGGACAGTTTGTCTGAGGATGTTAATTTCATGCCCTACACCAGCGACCCACAGGAACTGTATTAAAGAGCCGTGGCATTAAAAAGGTTGAGAAGCACTGCCCTACACAGAATTCTGCTCTGCATGTACCCGGGTGGTGCCCGGCTTCCTTGCTGCTTCACTGGGGAGGGGAAGACAGGCAGCCCTGAGGTCCCTTCAGCAGCATCTGTGGGCCACAAAAAATTGCTGTGAGTGTTCCCACATCCTGGCCTTCCTGGCTGCATGACACTTCTCTGATACAGGCTACTCCAGGAAGCCTTTGCAATGTGGAGGACATAGCTCCTGCCTCAGGGGTAATTATGGGGATGTTGTGGTATTATGCAAAGCCACTGTTGCAGGTATCAGAGTACTTTTGTTTGAGGAGGTTTTTTTGAGACAGTCTCACTCTGTCACCCTGGGTAGAGTGCCATGGTGTCATCATAGCTCACAGAAACCTCAAACTCTTGGACTCAAGAGATCCTCTTACGTCAGCCTACCCAGTAGCTGGGACTACAGGCACCCAAGGCATTTTCTATTTTTAGTAGAGACGGGGGTCTCACTCTTGCTCAGGCTGGTCTCGAACTCCTGAGCTCAAGCAATCCTCCTGCCTCATCTTCCCAGAGTCCTGGGATTATAGGCGCAAGCCACTGCATCTGGCCTATCAAAGCACTTTGGTTAGCCCAGGGCTGCCATTTACATTTGTGTAACAAAATTATATTTTATTACAACTTTCTTGTAATGAATGCTGGATTGCTGCCACCCTCTTTCCAGGCAGATGTCAAAGCCCTCTCCTCTCAGCATGTCAAGCCTTGCCTGGGCTTTGCCATAACAGTTGTAGACAGAAGCCAGAAGCCACGGGCTCAGTATAGGTAGATCTCTGACCAGGATAGCTGCATCTCACCCCTACACTTTGGTGATTCCATGTCCTGCCTCAATCTTTCCAGTGCCTCAGGTTGGAGTTTGTGTCAGAGATAAAAGGACATCCAAGGACCCTCAAATTCAGGCCACTGTGCAGAAAGCAAAAGAGGTTGCAGAGAAAGGTCTCAGGGAGCCTCAGAGCCAGCTTCAGACCTGCCTCTTAGGTGCTAATATACCAGAGCTTAAAGTAGCTGCATGAAAAAAAAATCCACTGGATATAGTGACTGCCAGAACCTGGCAACATCATGGAAAAGAGAGCAATTTTTGAAACTGTGTGACATTAATATGACATGTCCTTTACAATTATGGTCATTTAAATAAATCCCTTCTGACCCCATAATCCTAGTTAGTGTGTACTTTTACGTGAATCATACTAACTTCATTCTGAATTTCCTTGACAGCCGTAATACTTCAGACAGAAGCTAAGCCTTATGAGTTTGTGGCTTGTATAGCTGAGGTGCTTATAACCTAAAACACAGACAAGAAACAGTGACTTAAGAATATTCTAAGCTATGGACTTACATGTGGACTTTGCTAAAAACCTGAATGCAGCCAGATGACTTTTTTTCCACTTGAAGTATATTCGATGAACAGAATTCTAAAATTAGAGCATTTTTTTTTTTTTGAGACAGTGTCTCAGCCTGTGTCTTGGGTAGAGTGCTATGGCATCATCATAGCTCACAGCAACCTCAAACTTCTGGACTCAAGCAATCCTCCTGCCTCAGCCTCCTCAGTAACTGGGACTATAGGTACCTGCAAAGAACCTGGCTAGTTTTTCTATTATTAGAGATGGAGCTTGCTGTTGCTCAGGCTGGTCTTAAACTCCTGAGCTCAAGCAATCCTCTTGCCTGGGGCTCCCAGAATGCTAGGATTACAGATGTGAGCCACCCCACTCAGCCTAATTAGAGCATGTTAATGAATGAGAAGCTTGTTGCTCCAAGATTGGAGATTCACACCATGTGGAGTCAGCGCCACTTGCTGGCAGCACCAGGCACTGCAGTCCAGCTATTAATAAATTTCCAGACTGAGCAGCAAATGAGTCTTTAGAGCCGCCCAAGCCGAGAAGTTCCCTGTGCTCCAGAAGAAGCCGTGAAGATCGTATGGCCTGGTGGTAGACAGACGTCCACAGTCAAAGAAGTGCCCCGGATTCTGAGCTCTTACAAATATAAAGAAAACTGCCTAATCTGGTCTTTGGGGGATGTTTCCACACAGAAAATATTAATTACATATTAAAATACTCGGTATGTCTCACTATATCACCTGTTCTTTACCTTAATTTTCAGTGTATTCCTTCCGATCACCTTCACCTCATTTAGAATACGGTTTTATAATGGGAGGGAAAGGATTCATTTTTCAGGAACGTATTTTCCTTGGCTTGTTGAAACACACCTCTCTTCCCCCAAGTGAGAAATGGTTTTGCCTTCACGCCCCTTTCATTCTCCACGGCACAGTAGTCCTGATACCACCTTAGCCAGAGGTTTTTGTTTCCACTCCCCTTTTTTACCTCCTAGACCCAAGTGAAAGCGCGCAGGGTATCAAGAGAGGCGGCGCCAAGCCCTCAAATCATAGGCGGTTTTATTGTATTAGTCGCAGGCGGGAGCAGCTCTGCCCCGCAGCACAGGCAGCGTTAGGGTGCAGCATCCACAGGAAGGAGTGGGGCGGGGCTGGGGGGCCTCCTGGGGCCCAGTCACATGGTGACACGCAGAGGTCTCTCTGGGGGGAGCCGGCTCATCTCAGGGGAAGCTGGACTCGGGGGCCCTGGATGCGGAAATGAAGGTCACATCTCACTCCTCCCTGAAATAAAAAAGGAAGGCCGGGTGGGGGGAGGGGAGGGCTTAATATTCAGTGAGAGCAGCAACCAAGACTCAAATTCTTTTCTTTTCTTTTTTTTTGAGACAGAGTATCACTATGTCGTCGTCAGTAGAGTGCCATGACATCTCAGCTCACAGCAACCTCAAACTCTTCAGCTCAAGCGATCCTCTTGCCTTAGCCTCCCAAGTAGCTGGGACTACAGCACCCTCCACAACGCCCGGCTATTTTTAGAGATGAGGTCTCGCTCTGGCTCAGGCTGGTCTTGAACCTGTGAACTCAGCCAATCCACCTGCCTCAGCCCAAATTCTTACCTGCCAAGGAGGAATACCTTCCAAAGGACAAATACGATTCCCAGGCAGTTCCTGGCTTTGGATTCTGCCTTCAGGAGCGCTCCGTCCCCCCAGGCTGCATCCTCTGCCCCTTTTCTCAGCTCCCAGAGAGCCGTGGGGCCTGCCCCTT